TTTGGAAAAGAATCTATATAAGCTCATGAATAACTCGGTATTTGGTAAAACCATGGAGAATCTAAGGAAGCGTGTTGATGTTAAATTAGTCAGATCTAATGAGGAAGAAAGACTCAGGAAACTTATAGCCAGTCCGGCTTTTAACAGAAGCAAGATATTCGATAACGACTTAGCCGCGTTGCATATGCAGAAGAGTAATATAAAATTCAACAGACCCGTGTACGTCGGTATGAGTATTCTTGACTTGTCAAAACACTTAATGTATGACTTTTATTACAACGAACTTAAGAAGCAATACGGCGATAGATGCGAGGTGTTATATACCGACACAGATTCTTTGTTGATGGAAATACAAACCGAGGATGTGTATAAAGATATGGCAGAAAAAATAGATATGTACGACACGAGCGATTATCCTAAAGATAATCCACTGCACAGCGTTGTAAATAAAAAGGTGTTAGGTAAGATGAAGGATGAATGTGCTGGGACCCCTATAGCGGAGTATGTAGGATTAAGACCTAAGATGTATTCTATAAAGAAGTCCGATAATGGAGAGATAAGAAAAGCTAAGGGCGTTAAGAAGTATGTTGTAAAAAAGCATATCAAACACGAACAGTATAAAGAATCATTATTCAACGGTAGCAAGTTCAAACACGAGATGAACTCTTTAAGAAGTTACGATCATAGGATATATGGATTAAGAATGAACAAGACATCATTATCCCCCTTAGATACAAAGAGATGGATTGATAATGATGGTGTAACTACCTATGCTTATGGTTATGGTGGTAATACCGTACCGTCGGGAACTATGAACAACTCTTCTCGTACAAATGCCCTACCCGGTCCATCTTGAAGGTAATAAAGAATAGGCTCTCCTTCTTTCGTAACCAATCGACTAATGTTATACGTCTTAAGGGACCATATGGGATCGGTTGCGCGACGTAGGCCTCCTTCGAGTTCACCGGCCTGGTATAAATATCTTACCCTTACTCTATCCGGAAGTTTTCGTTCTTTGTCTCTCCTCGGTGCTGAAGATTCGGAAGTCACGGATTTCATTTTAATCGCATCGGATGGTTTCTTCCCTATTAATCTCGTTACTTCATTATTCAGCGCTGATACAACGGCTGATAATCGTGTCACCCATTCGGTTGATCTCAATTGCTCGGATTTCATTTCGATCCCATACTGATAGCCAAACAAACGTTCCGCTAATGTCCGGTTAAATCTTTCGACGATAGCTTGACTGCGGTGGGCCTCTCTTTCACCACGGACGATTTTGACATCGTTCTTTGTTAACATTTTAGTTACCGATCCCATAAACTCGCGACCGGGATCTACTTGAAATAGCTTAGGCCATTTTAGTGGTCCGCGTTTATATATGCGACTCAGTGCATTAGCTACCTCTGTTGATTCTTTCGATGTTAATGGCTCAGCCTCTTTGTATCGACTAGCCACATCCACTACTGTTAAAGCGTATTTATACGTTTTGCGTTTTACCTTATCGTGGGGAAGAAACAAGAGGTCAGCCTGATGAACTTCATTTGTCGTAAAAATATCAAACTTCTTCCTCGGTATATAACGCGGTGCCAGTAAATATATCTGCCACATCCCTTGTTTCTTTAACCAATCCTTGGCCACATCTTTAGATACCTTAGCCCCGGGGGCTAATTTTTTTACTGCTCCTACACCTTTCCAATTTCCTCGTGGGCTATAGTAAGTTTTATCCATTATTAATTAATATTGATATTTCTTTTAAAACGACTTTCGTTGAATCACATCACTAATAGAAGCAATGATTGACTCCAGGTGGTGGTGAGCTAGAGCTGAATCTCATGACTATCGTTAAATCGCATAGTCATTTTGGCATAAAAAATTCCCTCTGTAGTGGTGGTATAGGTATATGAATCCTGCTCCAGTGGAAGTGAGCCAGAACCATCATTACCTATACTACTCCTGATATTTAATCGTGTTGAACAATATGTTGCAACGGCAATGTGAAGTTGAAGGATTGAATGCGCGGGACAAGCTTGACCTAAATTCCTCCCTGGAACCTTTCTCGATGGCTGCCTGAATAACATACGATACATTGCAAAGGTAGTGCGCAATAGAGCTGTTCGAGTAAGGGAGATAATCACTCACTCTCAGTGATACAGCTTGAATAAGACACGATGTACAGCATTGCAAGGTCAGTGCGTGATAAAGCACTATACTACGCCTTTCGCTAAAGGGGGTAATCGCTCAATGCGAAAAAGTTAATTCTTACAAAATATAGACCGGTTAACTTTAGCGAAATGAGATATATATTTCCCCTAAACATTTTTAGTTCTTTTAAAAACAATATTAACAAATGTCATGGGTTACCTGCATTACGAAATGTGACTAAGTCTCAGAATAGCAAGACGATTTTGAAGTATCTCCACGCACATGATTCCACGCACATGATTGGCATGTTCCGTTTCGGTGAATGCATGCATGGCTTGAAATTTCAAATAAACCAACATGTCGACATACATGCTACAAAAAAGAATAGTTCCCGTATACTTCCCCGCCTATAGGGCGAAAAATCTTCTCTGTGCTTTTCATGATCATGTTTTTGTTTTTGTCAAAACTTGAAAATTACAGATTTAACATGTATCTACCCGACCCCACCACCTTTCTAGGCTTCAGAGGCGCTGATATTGTAAACCGCAACCACACCATTTTTAAGAATCTTATTTTCACGTACATGAATAGCATCCATTTTACGTCCGTTTCCTGAGGTTCATGGACAGTGCGTTTGAAACGTCAAATTGTGTGATAAGTGTTGTTTCAGATTTTCCTTTCGGTTTCTAAGTCAGACATTACAGATTAACTATAGTCATGTGAAAGGTCGGGGGTTCTTGTACATCCTGCCATTTGTTGTTTTTTTTGCGTTAAAACAACAAGGAGCTCTGGTGCCCCAGTCGTATAAGACACCGCAATACAGAGTTGCGTCCCTTAGTCGTGTCAGAAACATATTAACGTGGGTTGGAATCTCTGTTCGCTCGATGTTTCTAGTTTTCAAAACACCTGAAAGATTTCGCCTAATGCCTAATGCGCCGCAATTCGCTGTGCAGATCATGGGTTCGAATCCCAGATTCACCATGATTATGTTTCTAGATTTGTAAGCACCATCCCTTGCATCACTTGGGGCTTTCCTTCGTATTTATGCTGACACGCCGGAATATAACTGAAATATTGTTCAAAACGGAATTAAAGCCAACTCACTCACTCACTCACTCACGACTTTGAGTTGCAATAGTATCCTCGACATGGCTATAATCCGTAGCTTATTCTTTCGTTTTTACTTATACGCTGGGACAATTTACATTTTACGAATTTAACTGTTGATGAAGTAAATATTATCTAACGTATACATGTATTTGTTTCTTAAGTTTAATGGCATAACAAGGTCATAAATAACAGATCTATTATTTGAGGGGTCGCTTAAACTGATAGTCTTCATGTTGTAACCCTGAGAACTGATTTCGGGAGCGTGCACTGCAAACATGACTTATCATTCCCTCTTGACTTCAGTGAAAAACTGGGGGCACGGGTGGCCCAGTCGTCTAAGGCGCCGCGATTCGCTGTGCAGAGTTGCGTCCCTTGGGCACGCCAGAAACCTATGATTGTGGGTTCGAATCCCGGTTCGCCCAGATTATGTTTCTAGGTTTGTCAGCACCATACCCGTGCTCGTGGGTTTCACCGAAGTGGTAAACGTCTGAGACCTGCATCACTTCGGGCTTTCCTCCCACATTAAGCTGACACGCCGCGATATAACTGGAATACTGTTAAAAGCGGCGTTAAACCCAACTCACTCACTCACTCACTCAGTGAAAAACTACAAGGTTATAATAATTACTAATGGAGACGTTTTAATAATTATCCTTGATATAACTTTAATTCACAAATAAACTTTAACTGACACTGCACATTACAAGAATTCGGAAAAGAAATCCTTTCTTTCACCCACAGGCCACCGACATCGTGTCTCGGATTAGTAACCTTGAAATAAATACATACAAATATGCATTGATCGTGTTATTTACATGCATGGTGAGATCTGTTATATTAATTGGTTATGTATTTGATTGACCGCCATAGTGTGAGCTGTTTGACATTTTTCGACTAGACAAAGTTGAACGTCGGTCAGATGCTGATGTGACCCGTGAAGATTCCGGGGTAGAATAGGTCTTCAGCAACCCATACTTGCCGTAAAAGGCGACTATGCTTGTCGTAAAAGGCGACTAACGGGATCGGGTGGTCAGGCTCGCTGACTTGGTTGATACATGTCATCGATCCCAATTGCGTGGATCGATGCTCGTGATGTTAATCACTGGATTGTCTGGTCCAGACTCGATTATTTACAGACCGCCGTCATATAGCTGGAATATTGCTGAGTGAAGCGTTAAACAACAAACCAACCAACCAAAAGATGCTGATGTTACGGATTTTTTCCGCTCACTAGTTATCAGTTTCTCAAACGATCCTTAAGAAAACCATGTACAATTTGACGATGAATGTTGTGATAATGTTTCAACATTTTTTTTGTTTATTAGTGATGCTCTCAACGTTTATAATGACAAATGCAAGTAGAATATGTCAGGAGTTCAGAGTCATGCATGTGGTACCAACCCATCTCTCGTGAATATCAGAAGGTACTTTCTGGAGTAAATAATCCGTTTTGTTCGTTTGTTGTTTTACGCTGCACTCCAGTGTTTGACATTTTGTGCATAATTGGGATAAGATGATTTGCCGTCACCGAGCCTAACCCCGCGATCCATTTAGTCGCCTTTTATGACAAGCATAGCTTTCGGGGGACCTATATCCTTACCTGGGATCCCCACATGTCTTTAACGTTTCCTAGACGTTTCAGAGTATAGTTGTAATAGCTTTCATTGTGTCCTCAATATACTGCCAGGCTTCGATATGGTCGGTAAGTAAGTGGGTGCGAGCCTTTGAACAAGAGAGGAAATGACTGTGAGTGATTCGGGTTTATTCAAGCAAGAGTATCACGACATATCATTCAAAATACATTAATTCATATGTAATAATGACATACAATAATAATAACATAATAGTATCCTGGAACAGTTTCAATCTGTCTGGGAATAAAAGCAATGTATGTTATATTTGAGTATTTACGGTAAATGAGCACATAGTCATTTTATAAAGTATGCAACAAGTATCAGAGTAATTACTGTAATAATAAATACTGATAAATTGAGTAATTATAACATCATCATAGACCATGTTACGGTACAATGCACATGCCATTGTTTTGTGTTATATGCCGTGTCTATTTGGGTAACAACGTTAAATGATTTCTGACTATCGTTGACATAGACTTGGTAAATACAAATGCAGACTTAGATGATATACGGTACACTGCGAAGAGTGATTTGATGAGGAATATGATATTTACTTGGGAAAAGACGGTAATTATTCATACCTGTATTTTAAGTTATAATCCCCATAACATAATTCTTTTGGTAAATACGGTATGTAAAATAGAAGGGTGATTGACCCGAAAAAGGTAAAGTTTTAGGGAGAGACTATGGCTAACATTAATTGAATTAATGAAAATACACACGTAGCGCTTATCCAGTAAATTGCGCAGATTTGATGAGGAATGTGACACTGACTTCGGTGAAGAGGTAAACATTCACACATGTAGTTTTAGTAATCATTTTCACAACACAATATTTTCGGCAAATACGGTAAGTATGACTATCGTTAATATTAATTAATACAAATACATACGTAGAGCATATACGGTAAACTGCGCGTAGTGATTTCATGAGGCATATGACATTTACTTCGGAAAAGACGGTAAACATTCATACCTCCAGTTTTAGTCAAACTTTTCATGACAGAATAATTTCGGCAAATAATCATTTTCACACCATAATATTTTCAGCAAATACGGTAAGTGAAATAGCACGGTGATTGATCAGAAAAAAGATGCGAAGGTACATGGCAGAAGATATAGCTTAGATTTACTGAGAGATACGGTAAGGTTTAGTGGTGATTATTTTGGTGACTATGGTAATATGACTATCGTTAACATTTATTAATACACATACATACGTAGAACATATACGATAAACTGCGCGTAGTGATTTGATGAGGTATATGACATTTACTTCGGAAAAGACGATAAACATTCATACCTCCAGTTTTGGTCAAACCTTTCACGAAAGAATAATTTCGACAAATCTGGTAAGTAAAGTAGCAGGGTGATTGAAAAAGATACGAAGGTACAACGTAGACGATATAGCTCAGTTTTAGTGGGAGAATAGTAATTTTCAGGTATGATTGTTTTGGTGACCATGGTAATATAACTATCGTTAAGACTATATAGCTCAGTTTTAGAGGTAGAATAGTAATTTTCAGGTATTATTTTTTGTTTTGACCATGGTAATATACCTATCGTTAAGACGATATAGCTCAGTTTTAGTGAGAGAATAGTAATTTTCTGGTATGATTGTTTGGTGACCTTGGTAATATAACTATCGTTAAGATGATATAGCTCAGTTTTAGTGAGAGAATAGTAATTTTCAGGTATGATTGTTTTGGTGACCATGGTAATATAACTATCTTAAAGACGATATAGCTCAGTTTTAGGGAGAGAATAGTTATTTTCAGGTATGATTGTTTTGGTTACCATGGTAAAATAACTATCATTAAGACGATATAGCTCAGTTTTAGGGAGAGAATAGTAATTTTCAGGTATGATTGTTTTGGTGACCATGGTAATATAACTATCGTTAAGACGATATAGCTCAATTTTTTAGTAAGAGAATAGTAATTTTCAGGTATGATTGTTTGGTGACCTTGGTAATATAACTATCGTTAAGACGATATAGCTCAGTTTTAGTGAGAGAATAGTAATTTTCAGGTATGATTGTTTGGTGACCTTGGTAATATAACTATCGTTAAGACGATTTAGCTCAGTTTTAGTGAGAGAATAGTAATTTTCAGGTATGATTGTTTGGTGACCAAGGTAATATAACTATCGTTAAGACGATATAGCTCAGTTTTAGTGAGAGAATAGTAATTTTCAGGTATGATTGTTTTGGTGACCATGGTAATATAACTATCGTTAAGACTATATAGCTCAGTTTTAGAGGGAGAATAGTAATTTTCAGGTATTATTTTTGGGGGGGACCATGGTAATATACCTATCGTTAAGACGATATAGCTCAGTTTTAGGGAGAGAAAAGTAATTTCCAGGTATGATTGTTTTGGTGACCATGGTAATATAACTATCGTTAAGACGATATAGCTCAGTTTTAGTGAGAGAATAGTAATTTTTCAGGTATTATTGTTTTGGTGACCATGGTATTAAAACTATCCTTAAGACTATATAGCTCAGTTTTAGTGAGAGAATAGTAATTTTCAGGTATGATTGTTTTGGTTACCATGGTAAAATAACTATCATTCAGACGATATAGCTCAGTTTTAGTGAGAGAATAGTAATTTTCAGGTATGATTGTTTTGGTGACCATGGTATTAAAACTATCATTAAGACTATATAGCTCAGTTTTAGTGAGAGAATAGTAATTTTCAGGTATGATTGTTTTGGTTACCATGGTAAAATAACTATCATTAAGACGATATAGCTCAGTTTTAGTGAGAGAATAGTAATTTTCAGGTATGATTGTTTTGGTGACCATGGTAATATAACTATCGTTAAGACGATATAGCTCAATTTTTTAGTGAGAGAATAGTAATTTTCAGGTATGATTGTTTGGTGACCTTGGTAATATAACTTTCGTTAAGACGATATAGCTCAGTTTTAGTGAGAGAATAGTAATTTTCAGGTATGATTGTTTGGTGACCATGGTAATATAACTTTCGTTAAGACGATATAGCTCAGTTTTAGTGAGAGAATAGTAATTTTCAGGTATGATTGTTTGGTGACCATGGTAATATAACTTTCGTTAAGACGATATAGCTCAGTTTTAGTGAGAGAATAGTAATTTTCAGGTATGATTGTTTTGGTGACAAGGTAATATAACTATCGTAAAGACGATATAGCTCAGTTTTAGTGAGAGAATAGTAGTTTTCAGTTATGATTGTTTTTGTGACCATGGTTATATAACTATCGTTAAGACTATATAGCTCAGTTTTAGAGGGAGAATAGTAATTTTCAGGTATTATTTTCTTTGGGGACCATGGTAATATACCTATCGTTAAGTCGATATAGCTCAGTTTTAGGGAGAGAATAGTAATTTCCAGGTATGGTTGTTTTGGTGACCTTGGTAATATAACTATCGTAAAGACGATATAGCTCAGTTTTAGTGAGAGAATAGTAATTTTCAGGTATGATTGTTTTGGTTACCATGGTAAAATAACTATCATTAAGACGATATAGCTCAGTTTTAGTGAGAGAATAGTAAGTTTCAGGTATGATTGTTTTGGTGACCATGGTTATATAACTATCGTTAAGACTATATAGCTCAGTTTTAGAGGGAGAATAGTAATTTTCAGGTATTATTTTTTGGGGGGACCATGGTAATATACCTATCGTTAAGACGATATAGCTCAGTTTTAGGGAGAGAATAGTAATTTCCAGGTATTGTTGTTTTGTTGACCATGGTAATATAACTATCGTTAAGACTATATAGCTCAGTTTTAGAGGGAGAATAGTAATTTTCAGGTATTATTTTTTTGGGGGACCATGGTAATATACCTATCGTTAAGACGATATAGCTCAGTTTTAGGGAGAGAATAGTAATTTCCAGGTATGATTGTTTTGGCGACCATGGCAATATAACTATCGTTAAGACGATATAGCTCAGTTTTAGTGAGAGAATAGTAATTTTCAGGTATGATTGTTTGGTGACCTTGGTAATATAACTATCGTTAAGACGATTTAGCTCAGTTTTAGTAAGAGAATAGTAATTTTCAGGTATGATTGTTTGGTGACCATGGTAATATAACTATCGTTAAGACGATATAGCTCAGTTTTAGAGAGAGAATAGTTATTTTCAGGTATGATTGTTTGGTGACCTTGGTAATATAACTATCGTTAAGACGATTTAGCTCAGTTTTAGTGAGAGAATAGTAACTTTCTGGCATGATTGTTTGGTGACCTTGGTAATATAACTATCGTTAAGACGATATAGCTCAGTTTTAGTGAGAGAATAGTAATTTTCAGGTATGATTGTTTTGGTGACAAGGTAATATAACTATCGTAAAGACGATATAGCTCAGTTTTGGTGATAGAATAGTAGTTTTCAGGTATGATTGTTTTGGTGACCATGGTTATATAACTATCGTTAAGACTATATAGCTCAGTTTTAGAGGGAGAATAGTAATTTTCAGGTATTATTGTTTTGGGGGACCATGGTAATATACCTATCGTTAAGACGATATAGCTCAGTTTTAGGGAGAGAATAGTAATTTCCAGGTATTGTTGTTTTGGTGACCATGGTAATATAACTATCGTTAAGACGATATAGCTCAGTTTTAGTGAGAGAATAGTAATTTTCAGGTATGATTGTTTGGTGACCTTGGTAATATAACTATCGTAAAGACGATATAGCTCAGTTTTAGTGAGAGAATAGTAATTTTCAGGTATGATTGTTTTGGTTACCATGGTAAAATAACTATCATTAAGACGATATAGCTCAGTTTTAGTGAGAGAATAGTAATACTCAGGTATGATTGTTTTGGTGACCATGGTAATATAACTATCGTTAAGACGATATAGCTCAATTTTTTTCGTGAGAGAATAGTAATTTTCAGGTATGATTGTTTGGTGACCTTGGTAATATAACTATCGTTAAGACGATTTAGCTCAGTTTTAGTGAGAGAATAGTAATTTTCAGGTATGATTGTTTGGTGACCATGGTAATATAACTATCGTTAAGACGATATAGCTCAGTTTTAGTGAGAGAATAGTTATTTTCAGGTATGATTGTTTGGTGACCTTGGTAATATAACTATCGTTAAGACGATTTAGCTCAGTTTTAGTGAGAGAATAGTAATTTTCAGGTATGATTGTTTTGGTGACCATGGTATTAAAACTATCGTTAAGACTATATAGCTCAGTTTTAGTGAGAGAATAGTAGTTTTCAGGTATGATTGTTTTGGTGACCATGGTAATATAACTATCGTTAAGACTATATAGCTCAGTTTTATAGAGAGAATAGTAATTTTCAGGTATTATTGTTTTGGTGACCATTGTAAAATAACTATCGTTAAGACGATATAGCTCAGTTTTAGGGAGAGAATAGTCATTTTCAGGTATGATTATTTTGGTGACCATGGTGATATAACTATCGTTAAGACTATATAGCTCAGTTTTATAGAGAGAATAGTAATTTTCAGGTATGATTGTTTTGGTGACCATGGTGATATAACTATCGTTAAGACTATATAGCTCAGTTTTATAGAGAGAATAGTAATTTTCAGGTATGATTGTTTTGTTGACCTTGGTAATATAACTATCGTTAAGACGATATAGCTCAGTTTTAGTGAGAGAATAGTAATTTTCTGGTATGATTGTTTGGTGACCTTGGTAATATAACTATCGTTAAGACGATATAGCTCAGATTTAGTGAGAGAATAGTAATTTTCAGGTATGATTGTTTTGGTGACCATGGTAATATAACTATCGTTAAGACGATATAGCTCAGTTTTAGTGAGAGAATAGTAATTTTCAGGTATGATTGTTTGGTGACTATGGTAATAAAAACTATTGTAACATTAATTGGATTAATAAAAATACATCCTTTGAGCTTATTCGATAAGCTGTAGGAAGACATCATCACATCATCACATAAGCTTTGATCAAATGTCAGTTGTGACATCGCTGCTAGTGCCATCTTTACTCTGGTCCCTGACGTCACACTGTTTCCTGACCTGCATGAGGTACACCACGTCCTCTGATACAGCGAGTCGATCTGGTCGGCTTTCCAATGACAGGCAAACCTTCAGTATATCCTGAAACAGAATCGTAAATCACGATTGAAATAAATAAACGTGAAACAATCCTTTCCATAATCATAACATTCACAATCATAAGAGTCTTTTGTACGACTCCGACTGTATGATACAAGATGTTCGCGAAATGGTGAGAGTATCTTGTCTCACCGTTGCAAAGGCAAGTCAGTTATTACCTGAAAAAAACCACAAGTACATATGGTACAAATCAACATAGAGAATAGCATGGACCTAATTTTTGTCACTGATGGGTCATGATTTGATTGTTTGTTGTTTAACGCAATATTCCAGCTATATGACGGCGGTCTGTAAGTAATCGAGTCGGGACCAGACGATCCAGTGATTGACTTCTTGAGCATCGACCCACGGAATTGGGATACGATGACGTGCATTAACCAAGTCTCGTTAGTCGTCTCTTACGACAAGCATAGTCGCCTTTAACGGCAAGCATGGGTTGCTGAAGACCTTTCCTGCCGCGGATCTTCACTGGTCTCACTGATAGATCACTGATAGATCAAATTTGGAAAAGTCGTCTACACGTTTTCCAAATTATCCATCGTTTCAAGAGTCTCCATGTCATGGGCCGGGACGCCAACGTAGATCCGTACATGATTCATCGGATGATTTGCTATGCTTGTTCCTGATGGATACGAGTTAAACATTGCATACACATGCAGAAATGTCATTATGTTTGTTTCAAAATGGATAGTATGGTTCAGGGTAACACTAAAGCTCATAGAACTCTCCTTTACAAAATAGAGGATATAACAATATTTTGTTGATTTTACAAACGGTAAAAGACAACCTTCGAGTGACAAAATATTGCGCAATGAGGTTGCACCGTGTTGCAAGTAGTGCTGAAGATTAAATGATAACATGCGTGTTTTAGACCATCTTCAATAATGCGAGTATTGATCATCATCATATTTAGTCGTTGAGGAGGCAGGTACGTGTATATTTCTCACGAATATAAGAGGATGATTTGGTAGCTTTCTCGTTGGTGTCATTTGCGGATAAATATGCTGGGACGCCAATGTAGGTCCGTACATGATTCATCGGATGCTTTGCTTGGTCCTTATATGAGTTAAACATTACATACACCCTGGACAAATATCGTTATATTCCAAATGATATTTGTTTCTTAATGGATATTATGTTTGTAGAAAACACTGAAACTAATTGAATAGAACACTTTACAAAATGTCCATGACAAATAGGGTTAAGGACAGTTTCTTTGAAATATAAGGCAATGAGATAGCAACAGGTGGGGAAACACAGTGCTCACTCATACGTAAGACATCTCCTATAACTAACATGATAACATACATGTTCCAGATAATCTTCAATATTGTAAGTATTGATGATTTCATTCAAAGTATTGGTGTTTTGGCAGAATAAAACGGTATCAGTTTGGGTCATTAACGGATAAATGTGCCATTTCTGGTCAGAATAATATGTTTGTGTTAAGATTTATTTTGTCATAAACTTAAATCACTTTATTGAAACAAAAATTCATACCTGCTTCTGTTGCTGATGTTTGCGTTTCTTTTTTTCTGGCTCCTCTCTATCAAAATATTGATATTTCATGTTTAATGTTTCATGCTTTGAATATTGTTTGAAGTATCGTCTGAGCGACATATTCGATGGCATAGCAGCAATTGCTGTAGAATCAGTGTGCAATCAGTGGGCATAGTTTCTCTAACTACTTACCCAACCCCTAATGAACCGGGGTAGAATTAGTCTTCAGCAACCCATGCTTGTCGTAAGACGCAACTAACGGGATCAGGCTGTCAGGCTGCGGACTTAGTTGATGCATGTCCTCGCATCACAATTGTATAGATAGATGATCATGATTAAAAAACAACAACAAAAGCTACTTACCAAGGCCTCTACTATACTTGGAATTGTATATAATACCGGGTTTAAAGCTGAGTTCACAGGGAGCACTGTTACTGCAGTCCAAGAATATACCTCCCCGTCTAAAGGAACCCCTCGTAGTGACAGCACCCCTAGATTACAAGGTCAGACGAGTTAATTCACGTGGTATTTATCAATATGAACACAGATCTCGATAATTGTTTCTAAAAATAATTAACTTTAAGACACCTTTGATTTGATTTGGCTATTGCTTACACAATGAATTTACTAGAAAAAACATGGCACATGTCATTGCTCACCCAAGACATCAACAGGGAACCACCAGAGGAAATCTATCAGGACGACGAGGATCAGTCTCCTGGCAATGGTCGTGTCATGATTACAACCTCTTTGTATCTTACAGTCCTTATTTTAGATCCTTATTGCCGGGCGCCAGACAGGGTTACAACAAGTACCATCTTTTAACGTCTCTTGGTATGACGCAGGCGAGGATCGAACCCCGGACCTTCCACTCTCTGGGCGGACGCTCTATCACTAGACCACGAAGGGGGTCCATATTAAAATGAACAAATACTAGTTCTTGATAAATTTATTTTTTTGTTTTAATTTTGTTTGGCCATTAGTTAAGCACTGATTCTACCGGAACACGCATGACACATGTTATTGCATTTCATAATACTCACCCATGACACCAACAGGGAACCAACAGAGGAAATCTGTCAGGACGACGATGATAAGTCTCCTGGCAATGGTAGTGTCATGACTGGACTTAGATGATCTTATCGTGGATGATGTCGTAACTGCTCTGTATATCAGAACTTGGCAAATCCCTATGAGTAGGAACATGACAAAGTTGAAACCCACAAATATCCCAGTTGAATATTCCCATCCTGGTTGTCGGTCATTTGAAAGAGGCAGTGCAAGACAGACACTGTTCTGGGAGTAGAGATTCCACTTCAGTGACGGTAATAGAGGAATACCTGCTAGGAGGATAGCAATAATCCAGCTAATTGCTGCAGACAAAACAGCTGTCTTTAAGGAAAACCTGAATTGCCCAAACGGAAAGGCAACGGCCAATAGCCGATCTAACGTGATAAGTGTGATGAAGATGCACGAAGCTTCCGAGGATAAGGTGGACAGGAAGCCAGCGAAAGCACATAGTGTGCTATGTCTCCATTCATAATCATGCCACACGTACGATCCTTTAAATGATGAATCCACAAATCCAATGATCATCATGTAGAGGCCCATGAAGAAATCGGCGATTGAGAGATTTGTCACAAGTACACCATAGCTTTTCTGAAGGGATTTTCTGTCATAAATGAACCTGTATATGATCACCAGGATGTTCCCAACAACAGCAACTAAAGCAATGACCCACAGCAGAATTCGAAGGATATCTTGGCCCAGAAGGTCCTCACATGAAGCAATGGTACTTTTACTTGATAAACAGCCACTTGTTGTGAGGCTTTTCGGTCTCACAGAGTCGCAGCACAGCTTGTATGAATCAGTTTGTAACTGTTTTAGTGATGGTAAACCATCAAAGATTCCTTTATTAAAGTTTTGAATTTTGTTTTGACTAATGTCAAGGCATTCAAGGAACCGCAAGCTTGAGAAGGATCCAACATTGATGTAATTCATCTGACTGTGTGAAATATTAAGTGTCCGGAGATTCGAAAGGCCCAGTAGAACCGTTGATTTTAACTCCATGATACATGTGTTGAATAAATTCAGTTGTTCTAGTTTTGACAATTTTGCAAATGTACCATTGTCGATGTTTGAGAGGTTAACATTGTTTGATAAGTCAAGGTGTTTCAAATTGGTAAAGTTTGAGAAGGAATCTTTAACTAGGTGAGATATCATATTGTGACTTACATCTAAGGTTAAAAGATTTGGAAGCTTTGGAAAAACTCCTTCAATTCGTATTATATTTGATGATGACAAGATGAGGACAGTCAGGTAGGGGAGCCAAACACGACAGTAGAGTAGGTGAAGATCTACCCCCGATAGGTCTAGCTTCCGGACATCGAATGGAATTTGAGACATGTCCTTGAAATTTGAATCACAACGTATGACTCTTCCACTACAGATGCAAGACGGTGGACACTCGCTCTGACACATACGTTCGTCATCTCCATCTGGACAATGCCGTATACCGTCACACAGCTGACTTGGGGGAATACAGTATGTTTCCCCTGAACATGGATAATAGCCTGGGCATCTGTACTCGTCTGAAAGAGAAATGACAAAATACTGACAGATGAAGAAGGCAAATTATTTTCCAGCCTGGCTATTGCAAAATGTGAGACTGGGCTTGAGTGATGTTGATGTACACAATGACGACCTGTCAATATTGACATATGTGAAAGTATTATATTCGAATTACATTTATCAATGATTTTATACATGTCATACAATGAGATTAAAACTTTTGAGACGTAAAAATGTCGACAAGTGGGGTAGTCATTTGGGATATTATACCATCATACCTGGAGACAATATCATTCATGTAACAAAATCGACCCGACGTGTTGCAGGAGTAAATTTGAATGCTTATTTAAAAGGTCAAAATATTGTTTCTTAAAAATATTCAAAGGCAATAGTACTAAACTGGCCCGGCATAGGCAAGACCAAAAAACGTGCTCACACCGCCATCTTCAATTATTACATAACAACAACAACCCACAAAAAATCCGGTCAATTACCATCCACTGTTACCCATCCTCTGTTATCCAGGCAGAAAAGCACATATTGGCGAAGAAACAGTGTCGTCTTTAGAATTGAAATTGGACAGTATCATGTAAAACCACATGCATCAAAGGTAATATCGTACAGTAGGTTACTCTGAATATGCACAGTGGAAATCATCAGTTTGGAGATATCATATAACTCACGACGACCACATTCATCGGCACCATCTGGACAGTCTTTGAGGCCATTGGCAACATACTGTATTGGGATGCAGTAGCTGTTAGGGCATTTGTAATGTGTTTCTTCACATTCCACCAAGCCTAGAATGAAAGTGAAGGAATAAAAACAAAATATAAATGCGATTGTAGTGAACCATATTTTTGTGTACCTATTATTTCTACGTTTATGTTTGTTTGAAAACTTTTAACCAAAAGAAAACCATTGGAAAAAAAACCAATTGGGCCAAAGGAACCTCCTTTCATCAAATTCAGAAGAAATTTAATTTACATAGATGACGTTAAAAGTGTCGTATTGACTTTTGAAGCGTGATTACAAAGTAAGATTAACACACGACCAGACCAGCTGCTAAGATAGCTATAGTTCTTTTCCTGAATTAAGCCAACTTACTACAGTTTCCATCACTTGGAAAATGTATGACAGCTTTTCCCAACATATCTGGTTTGTACACACAAACAGATTCGGTGGACACGTTCCTTTGAAGCTCAGATGTTATGTCTACTGCTGATAGATCTGAAAAAGTGAAGGTTCAGTTCCTTTCTCTTTTCATATATGAATGGAATGGTTGTAGTGAATTTTCAGAGGACATTTGACAACGGTTAGATCTGTGATATTTCAGTAAGCAGCTCCATGTAAATGATGGAAAAGCAGACATGTTAACACTTTTGGTGTTTTGGTTAACACATAGCATGGTGTTCTTTGTTATGTCAATTTGCTTACCATTGGTGATTGTATATTCGCTTTCATCCTCTCCCTTAAAGCCATCACAGTCAACGACGCCGTCATTCACCCAGGAGTTGGGGATACACTTGCCATCAAAACACACAAAACTCCGACATATTTCTAAAGGACAGAATAAAGCACATTATTTTTCATTACTTTCTGGCTTTTGATAAGTTAAAGATAAGATCATGTTCTGTACAATTCATATATTGAGAAATATGGTCACAAGCGTAACTAGAAATTGTGATAATTTAAGAATTATGACATCCGATCATCATCCACATACAAATCAAATTTAATCAAGTGTTCACCACAATCTGCCTCGTCCGTCTTGTCGTAGCAATCTTCGAACAGGTCACATCTTTTCCCAGAGTCAATGCATTGACCATTTCTACATTGCCATTCCTCACTTGCACAACTCCCCTTTTCTGGAAACAACGTCAGAAAATTGTCATGAATAGCTTTAATTGGAGAGAAGTCAAGTATATCTCAATATCTGTCGACTTTGAGACACAATAGGAAAGACTGTTACAAATGTTAAATTAAGGATAACACTTTCTTAGTTAAGTACAGATGCAGTACCTTTTGTGGGTTGAGTCCTATCCGGGATTCGAACCCATTTGACCACTTTCTAGATGGCATTGTGTGTTCATATCGGAATGACTGGTAGCAATAGCAGTCGGGTACACGCTGTTCGAAAAATAGGTAGCTATGAATTCAAGTTATGATCACTCATTCAAGCATAAGGTCAGTACACTGTTCTTTCCAGTAAAATCCAGAAGCGTTACAATTGCATATTACACACCGCAGTTTTCGTCCGAGCCATCCGCACAGTCTCGTGTACCGTCACAGTAGAAGGAGAAGGAGACACACCTGATTTTAGTGCATTGAAACTGGGTGCTGGTGCAGGACGTTCCTTTAAACATGAAAGTAATATGCATCATGGCAAGTGTCAGCATCTGTAACGATGGAAAGAAAGCACATTATTTTTTTATTACATTCTGGGCCTTGATAAGCTCAAGATAAGGATTTGTTCTGCATAATGCAAATATTGAGAAATCTGTTTACTTCACTCATGAAAATGTTGACCAAGAAATTGTTATAATGTAACGATTATGACATCTGATCATCAGCGATATACAGATTTGAGAATGTTTTCACCGCAATCTCTCTCATCCAGCAATATCACGGCGGAGGACACCAGAAATGGGCTTCACACATTGTACCCATGTCGGGAATCGAACCCGGGTCTTCGGCGTGACGAGCGAACGCTTTAACCACTAGGCTACCCGACCGCCCCCGATACATGGGATGGATCAGGCGGTTGATGAAGGCCATAGGCACTTGAGCCCACACTCTAAGGGACGTTTGAAGGCAGTTAAGTTGCAGTTGTCGGCCTTGATTTTATTGTCATCTGCTTTGATTTTGTATCATAAAATTTCATTTTTCCGGACAAGGTAATGTTAAATTTTAGAAACTTTGACAAAAATTACCCAGGTATTTAAATGAAAATTTTTCATGCAATGTTACTTCGAGTGACGTTTCTTTTGCGGTTCAGTATAATATTCTTGCTGAAGATATTATCTATGTCAATAGGTTCTCTGACAAAATGTTTACTGTCAATAAACACAAGTTATTCAAGGGATTCAGTTGCGGAACTGAAGACAAGTACGGAAAGATAGATCCTTTTGTTGGACCCTGACTGCATCCTTCTTTATTTATCATCACTTCAAACTGGAATAATGTAAAGAGACAAGTCACTTAACAAATCTGCTGGCTATATTCATAACTTGGTTGTTTGGTTTGTTTGTTTGTTGTTTAACGCCGCACTCAGCAGTATTCCAGCTATATGACGGCGGTCTGTAAACAATCGAGTATGGACAAGACAATCCAGTGATTAATATCATGAGCATCGATCCACGCATTTGGGATCGATGATATGTATCAACCAAGTCAGCGAGCCTGACCACCCGATCCCCTTAGTCACCTATTACGGCAAGCCTTGGTGAAAATTGAAGGACATTGCTTTCAAGACCATTAAAGGTAACCTAGTGGTTAAATCGTTCGCTCGTCACGTCGGAGATGCGGGTTCGATTCCCCACATGGGTAAAATGTGTGAAGCCTATTTCTTGTGTCACCTGCCGTGATATTGCTAAAAGCGGCGCAAAACCATACTCACTCACTCACTCACTGAAGCTGTACTTTTTCACTTATAAGACACTGGCTATTTACAAATTTGGTTATAAACGTAAAAACAGGACACTTTCAATCCGCGTATCAGATACCTCACTAAATGCAAAAAAATATTGAAGTAAAATGTTATGTATAATATATATTATATTAATGTTCAAAGAAGGATTTTAATTAACGGTGGTAACCATAATATGTTCCAAGCACCTACGGTATTCGGTAATAACATCAACAGTTTAAATCAGTCCCAAGCACGAGAATTTGATGGCACACAAGTTCAGTAGCGTGTATGGCCACCATGTGCGTAGACAACTGCCACACAACGCCACCGCATGGACCTTGTGACGCTTGTGAACACATGATTGGGAAGACGACGCCATTGTTGCCGCAAAATGGTGCCAAGATCTTGCCAATTCTGTGGTTGGATCTGGGGAGTGCGCAGACTTCTGCCAAGGGCATCCAAGGCGTGTTCGATGGGATTGAGGTCGGGAGACCTTGACGGCCAGTCCATGACGTTGACTCCCGCATTCTGAAGGAAATTCTTTGTCAAAATTGCTGTGTGGGTTCTGGCATTGTCGTGTTGGGAGATCAAACCGGGTCCATGTGCTGCCATAAAAGGCAGAAATTCCGGTGCCAGAAGCAGCAGCGTTGAGGTTGCCACGGATGACAAGAAGCCTGGAACGTGCATTGCCTCAGAAAGCACTCCACACCATGAAACTTCCGCCTTGAAATCTGTCAACTTCCTGTACACAACACTGGGCGTAACGTTCATGACGGCGCCTCCACACCCTCGCCCTACCATCAGCAAATCGAAGATTAAATCGGGATTCATCACGGAAGACGACTTGATTCCAATTCCTCTGAGTCCATCGTAAGTGTCGCTGTGCCCACAATTGACATTGACGTCTGTGTTATTGAGTCAGAATCGGCCCGCAGTATGGCCGTCGTGCGTGAAGGTGAGCAGTTCCCAGACGGTTTCGAACAGTTTGCGCACTCAGTCTACCCCTAAACAGTTCATTTCTGGTTGATGTAGCCGTCAAAAATCGGTTACGGAGGTGACGTAAGACAATCTGACGATCCTCTGCATGTGACGTCACACGTGGTCGACCTGGCCGAGGGCGATCAGCGGTGGTACCCGTTTGCTGTAGACGCATAAACAGTCCGTCGACTACAACCCATCGTCCATGCGATTTCAGCTACGGACGTTCCCGTCTGCAACATGCCGATGGCACGTTCACGTTGCACATTTGAAAGGCGTGGCAAGACAAATGGCCCTAAAGACTTTTGTTTTCTTGTGTTTTTCATGTGTGTGTGTGTGTGTGTGTGTGTGTGTGTGTGTGTGTGTGTGTATAAATTGACATCAATATTTTTTTTGCTTTTATATATTTTTGCATATACACTGAAAGGCAAAAGAAACGTCACTTCTAAAAATAGTGATAAAACTTAACAGACACTGGAAGTTACATGTTCTGTGGTCAATAAACTCATTTGTCATTCTACTGCTTCTTTTTGTTGCCTTAAAGTCCATTAAACAATTGAGTTTACAATGAAGTGCTTTGCCCAAACGCAGCCTACAAAAGTGCAATGGGACTCTTGTCAAAAACATGATGCACGTGCATATCGTGGATGGTATGGGTATAAAAGACACCCAAAACTGTTAAGCTGGCTTTCGTTATTTCGATTCATCAGCCATGCCAAGATTATCAGGAAATGAGAGACAACAAGCGATCGGAAGACTGCATACAGGCCAGAGTGCACATGTCGTTGCAAATGCATTCAATGTCAACGTCAGAACGATATATCGTTTGCAACATCGCCACAACACCACCGACGACCGACCGCGCAGTGGTCGTCCTAGAGTCACTACTCCCAGACAAGATCGGTTCATGATACGCCAACATTTGCAGAACCGATTCCGAATGGCCACTGAAACAGCTCGGCAAACCATTGGCAACCACCAGCGTCCCATCAGTGATCGTAGAGTCCGACGTCGCCTAAATGCCAACAACATCTCGTGCCACCGTCCTGCTCGTGTACCCATCCTGAGAGATCGTCACCGACAGGCCCGACTGCAATGGGCCAGGCAGCATCAAACTTAGAGTCAACAGCAATAGAGAAGAATCATCTTCACTGATGAAAGTCGCTACTGTGTTTCAACGGTGGATGGCAGAGTCAGGGTCAGGCGAAGGAGGGGCGAACGTTATGATAATGTTTGTGTTATGGAACGAGACCCGTGGGGCGGCCAAAGCATCATGGTTTGGGTTGGAATCGGACTGAACCAGAGAGTGGGACCTGTGGTCTTTCAGAATATTGGTCCAGGCAGGGGTAATGGCATCACAGCTCTCCGCTACATTGACCAAGTCCTCAGACCCCATCAAAATCACAGCAAAACAACATCCGTCCCCACACTGCTAGAGTCACCAGGGACTTCCTCCAGCACAACATCCAAATCATGCCTTGGCCTGCCCTCAGTCCGGATTTAAATCCCATTGAACACTTGTGGGATGAGTTCCAACGCCGACTCAACGACGTACGCCCAAGGCCGACAACTGCAGCAGAACTGCGTATAGCGTTCCTGAGGATATGGGCTCATATCCCAATGGCCTTCATCAACACGCTAGTCTGCTCCATGTACAGGAGATGTGTGGCTGTAGTCAACGCCCGTGGTGGCCACACCAGGTACTGATTTTAAACCCCCCAGCTGTGATGTCTTCTGGTGCCTCCCCAAATTCACAATTCGCAAAAACGTTCCCCAGACTGTTAATTTCATGTGGGTCAAACACTGACTTTCTCCGATGTCTTTACTTACACATAAGCATTTGAAAATAAAGATATTTATATGATACATCCACATGACTTTACTTTTGCCTTTCGGTGTGTGTGTGTATATATATATATATATATATATATATATATATATATATATATATATATATATATGACAACATTAATAACTTCACAGACTGCTTATTTATTCATTAAGGCAAACACTGGAGATACAAATAGCAATACAAAATCGTTCATTACAATTATTCAACACAAACCATGCCCATTCTATCACCGATATCCAGAATGTTTCTCTGCAGTTTTATAAATCAATATTACCGCAATTTGATTCGTCACTTCTGTCTTTGCAATCGAACCTTCCATCACATAAGTTGAACTTTGACACAAGCTCTCCATTAGTGCAGTTAGTAAACAACTCATGGTCGTATCCAGAGGAATTGGCTTCTGGAAGCGATGGAGTATCTGAAAGCATGAAATATTATATCAGTAAAAATCTATCTTTAGTACCATTCTGCACAAAATACTCCATCACCGTAAAGTGTAAATCATTTTCCATTTTTTAGAGGCAGTCGGGTAGCCTAACGGTTGAATCGCGAGTTAATCTAGCCACGCTTCCCAAAATGTGAAGCTTGATTTCATGCTTCCCGTCGAGGGATTTGTGCTGCTAATAGCTGCGTAGAACCACCAATCACTCACTCAATTACTCCCAACCTCAGGAAACATCAGTTTTTGTCCACATATGGAATAACTAACATGTGGATTCTCAAAAACTCAAAGGATCTGCTTGACGTTTTGCAATCTCAGAAAAGAACCAAGTTCCTTTTTGTCAAAACATTTGATTTTTCAACTGTGTACATCACTATCCCAAGTGACAAACTTAAGGAAAAACTGCATTCCTTGTTCCATAGGACTTTTGTTACAAAACGTGATGACCACAAATACAGTTTCGTATTTATATTCAGAGTTTTAGGACAATTTGTGAAAATGAAAGCAAATGCCATCTGAAATTTACTGAGAAAACAATGAGTGAAATGCTGGACTCTCATTGATAACAAACCTATGCTTGCCGTAAACGGCGACTATGCTTGTCGTAAAAGGCGACTATGCTTGTCGTAAAAGGCGACTATGCTTGTCGTAAAAGGCGACTATGCTTGTCGTAAAAGGCGACTGATGGGATTGGATGGTTAGGCTCACTGACTTGGTTGATGCATGTCATCGTATCCCAATTGCGTGGATCGATGCTCATGATGTCAATCACTGGACCGTATGGTCGATTATCTACAGACTGCCGTCATATAACTGGAATATTGCCGAGTGCGGTGTAATAGAACAACCAAACAAAAAAGCCAAACAAAATAATACTTTTAACTACAGGTAATATATACACATGCACAAAAGTTAAGGGCCACCATATTCATAGTGTCGTGTGGGAATCAGAAATACAAAATATAATGATATATGACTTAATTAGGCTTCCATAGTTTCATGAACCCAAATTTGTCCAGATACAACAAGGAATGCGTGCTTTACGTGTTGCTGCAGTTCCCCTACCCTATAAATAGTGAAATTCAAGTTTCAGACACGTGGTTACATTTTGCTCCTGTGTGAGATTCCCCTTCAAATATAGGTTGAAAATCAGCCATGGTGGGGAGAAAGTTAACGATCGCTGAAAGATGGCAAGTGATAGGCATGAAAAATGCTGGCATGTCATGCAGGGCCATTGCAAGACAAATGGGTCGTCATCACAGTGTTATCACTCGTTTGATTGTCTAACATGGTCAAACCAATGATGTTAATGACAGGCATAGGTCTGGTAGGCCAAGAAAGACCTCTAACAGAGAGGATAGACGTCTTTTCAGGTTAGTCAGGCGAAATCCATTTGCCACTTCAACAGATTTAAGACTGCAGATGACCGTAAGGCGTCGCCTCAGAGCGGCTGGTTATAACGCCAGAAGATCAGTTCAACGTCCTCAACTGACTGAGAGGCACATACGGAATCGTCTGATATGGTGTCGTGCCCGTAGTCGATGGAACTTGGCCAACTGGAGAAGGATCCATTGGTCTGACGAGTGTCGATGGTCGAATACGTGTTTGGAGGCAACGTAACACTCGTTTTGCACCACGAAACACCCAGAAGGCCTTAGCATGTGGCGGGGGGTCTGTCATGATATGGGGTTGTGTTTCCTTCGGCTGCAAACTTCCGCTGGTGACAATTCGTGGAAACCTGAATGGCCAACAATACCAAGATGCCATTCTTCGTCCAGTGGTAGTCCCTCATTTTGACAACCATCCTCTTCAGACAAGACCTGTTCACATGGGCGACAATGCTAGACCACACAGATCTCGGGCAGTTTGGCTTATTTGCGTCAAGAGACTATATAATTGCCACTCTTCCTTGGCCGGCCTGTAGTCTGGATCTTAATCCGATTGAGCATCTCTGGGACATTTTTGGCCGGAAAATCAGACATCGTGATCCCCCAGTTCAAAATCTCGCTGGACTTGAAGCCGCACTTCATGAAGAATGGATCCTCAGAAAAGCATTCGACGACTTGTAATGAGTATGAGGCGTAGGGTTGAAGCTGTGGTCAATGCCCGTGGATCATACACTGACGTTTCTATCTTGCAATAGACTCTGCACTCCCTAGGGTGTCTATGTGACACCTGATATGGTCTGCTGATATCATGACAGTTACATGACCAAAAAGGTTTTTCAATGTTTTCTAATCCTTCAATTTCTAGTCTTCGGTAAAATTCCTTTCTGCACATATTCTTTTGGAACACAAGATAAACTTGCTTTGGGACAACTTTTGCATCACATGAGGTTTACATATACGGCTTATAACAATCGTACATCTCGTTATAATAGTCATCATTAAGTGCCAAAAGTAACAGCTCACAAATATGGTGGGGGCGCTTAACTTTTGTGTACATATACTAATGAGCATTAATTTAGCAGCGCCTGCTGTAAAATCCACTTCCAAAAAATATTGACAACCCTTCATCTGAACCATCCTAAACACCTGAGGGATTATATTGGCCACCAATTGACAGCTAGAGACCCGCCAGTTCAAACCCTGAATACAACGACACAGGGACTGCACTACGATAGGCACATCATACCCATTTTGAAAATCAGACGTCTGGTTAGCGAATGACATCTGTATGTTGACAATAATCGTTTTCCACTGCATAATGTAACTGTGGGTATGGGCTGGGTGCTGATACTTTTCAGAGTATATATACTGAGTCAAATTAAAAACTTCACATTTTTAAAAGTAATCCCATATATCATATACAACGGACAAATGAATCAGAGACGGTAATTTTTAATCATTAATGTCCAACGAAGGATTTTACTTAACGGTGGTAACCATAATTTGTTCCAAGCACCTAGGGTATTCGGTAATAACATCAACAGTTTAAATCAGTCCCAAGCACGAGAATCTGATGGCACACAAGTTCAGTAGCGTGTATGGCCACCATTTGCGTCCACAACTGCCACACAACGCCACCGCATGGATCTTGTGATGCTTGTGAATACATGATTGGGAAGACGAAGCCATTGTTGCTGCAAAATGGTGCCAAGATCTTGCAAATTCGGTGGTTGGTTCTGGGGAGTGCGCAGACTTCTGCCAAGAGCAGCCCAGGCGTGTTCGATGGGTTGAGGTCGGGAGACCTTGACGGCCAGTCCATGACGTTGACTCCCGCATTCTGAAGGAAATTCCTTGTCACAATTGCTGTGTGGGGTCTGGCATTGCGGTGTTGGGAGATCAAACAGGGTCCATGTGCTGCCATAAAAGGCAGAAGTTCTGGTGCCAGAAGCAGCAGCGTTGAGGTTGCCACGGATGACAAGAAGCCTGGAACGTGCATTGCCACAGAAAGCACCCCACACAATGACACTTCCGCCTCGAAATCTGTCAACTTCCTGTATACAACACTGGGCGTAACGTTCATGACGGCGCCTCCACACCCTCGCCCTACCATCAGCAAATCGAAGATTAAATCGGGATTCATCACTGTACACGACTTGATTCCAATTCCTCTGAGTCCATCGTAAGTGTCCCTGTGCCCACAGTCGACGTTGACGTCTGTGTTATTGAGTCAGAATCGGCCCGCAGTATGACCGTCGTGCTTGAAGATGAGCAGTTCTCAGAAGGTTTCGAACAGTTTGCGCACTCAGTCTACACTTAAACAGTTCATTTCTGGTTGATGTAGCCGTCAAAAATCGGTTACGGAGGTGACGTAAGACAATCTGACGATCCTCTGCATGTGACGTCACACGTAGTCGACCTGCCCGAGGGCGATCAGCGGTGGTACCCGTTTGCTGTAGACGCATCTGTCAATCATAAACAGTCCGTCGACTACAACCCATCGTCCTTGCGACTTCAGCTACGGACGTTTCCGCCTGCAACATGCCGATGACACGTTCACGCTGCACATTTGAAAGACGTGGCATGACAAATGGCCGTAAAGACTTTTGTTTTCTTGTTTATTATGGCCACGTGACCAGTTGCACGTGAAATACCACTTTTGCCACTTTAGTGCTGTGCACATGATTTTGATCGATTCACCTGCACATATCTGAAGACATTACGTGGCCATTACTGTTTAAATACACAATAAGGGCCCACAATGATAACTGGTCAAAATGTTAAAAGTTTAGGATTGTGAAGTTTTTAATTTGTTTCAGTATATAAATATACGTACCGTGCAAGTGCTTTATGTCCGGAACTTCGTTTGAGCACAAGATGGTACGGGCTACTTTGTCATTGCAAAAAACATCCTGCCACCCGTCTTCTGTCATATTCTTCAAAAAGCATCTTTGAAGCGTCCCTCCATCTACCCCGTCCGTGCCCCTGTTGGCCAAGATTAATCGAATATCTTATCTTCTGGTCTGTAGTCAAATGAATCAGCACATACACTCTTCTAACAAGGAAACGCATAGGTAGAGTTTCAGAAAATCTATTGTACCTAATAAAGTCGACATATTTAATTTCGTATCATAGATAGCAATATGAAATTTTGGATATCGTTAGTCACATGTTGTCGTTGTGCAAAGGTATTGAAAACTGATCGTTGTTATGTCATATAAGGCCACAAGGTTGCGCTGTAATCAGTATATCGTGTGACCGCCCCGGGCAGCAATCACAGTGCATCTCCTTAGCACTGACTGGATAAATGTCCGAATTCTGTCCAACGGATGAAACGGTATGGCACCAACGCAATCGTCGCTGTCGATGGATCTGTTGCAAAACAGGAACGATAACTGGTCTTCTGGGTCGGATTCCACCCTCGCGAAGATAGTTTCTGACAGTCTGGACTGATATCTTCCTCAAACCAGATATGCGTCCTGCAGTCTCCGTAGCTTAGGCATTGCGATGACGTAAGATGAACAGTCGAATGTAGCTATGCTGTGCAGGGATGTTAACTCTTTGTCGGCTGGTTCTCGGACGTTCAGTAGAATTGAACTCTGTGTGTCGGTCCAAAAGGCGCCAAATGATGCTGTATTGGAAGTTGAAGTGGCGTGTAACAGAAGACTGCGATTCCCCTCTTTGGATACGTCGTATGTCGATGTTCCGATCGGCAGAGTTGAGTCTCGTCAATTTCAAACTTGTATAAAAATGTTTACAAATGAATGACAAATTATTGGCTTATGCTTGCCTGTTTATAACCACTACCAATAGTTACGAATACCAAAACTTGCACGTGCATTTTGCTTTACTGTTTTCCCGCATGACATTTTTGAACAAGTGTGAAAACAATGCCGTTTAAGACATTGCATATTTGACGCACCGTTTGTCGAATATCAGGCCACCAACAATTTCCAATAACATATCCAATTTATATACCGGATTTTTTGTGTAGTCTGGTTCAGATAACTACATACTACCTGTGCGTTTCCTTTTTTGAGGAGTGTATGTATGGCCTGAAGAGGCTCGTTTGAGGTGGAAGCTCTCGCATGCAAATGGATAATATCAACTTCTTTTTTATTGTTTTTTTTTCACATGCGACCAGAAGTTTATAACTTATTAAATTTGTAACTGTATTCCGTACATGTTTACAAAAATAATCTTAACGGTTGACTGATATATATATAAACATACATAAATATTACAGAATTTAATGACAGTGACCTTTAATTGTTTATCTGGGAACACATGTTGAACAACACTAAATTAATCATCGCTTGTACATGATTACCTACCAGTTCGTATAAGTCATAATTGTCCCATCGTCCCATCGATATATTCCATATATTGCGCTTCTCGTGTTGTGTTTCTTAAAGGGGAAGTGTACACGCAAAAATCACTTTCTTTCTTTTTCTAAACAAAACGCAATTTTAGAATTAGTTAGTATCTGTGTTTGAAAATATACGCTCATTTTTTTTCACAGTGAAAGTAGGAAGCTCACAATAGTGTTAAAATGATATGCCGTTATGAGGCCTTCGTTTTACGAGCGAAATAGGCCTGAGTTATCCCCCTTAGATTATGACGTAATTGGTGCCAATTCAACTGGGTCCCTGTCTATTCTCAACGCAAAAGATATCAAGGACCAGTTTGCGGTAAAACAACATGGTCTACGACACACTCCGGCGCAGTAGTGACTCAGCATAACACAATTCTGGCTGGCATCTGAGACGCTAGAATCACAAAACTGTACCTACACCACGTGAAGCGGCTCTAACAAAGCATGATGACGTCATAATGTTTATCAATTGGCACCAATGACGTCATATTGCAAGGGGCATAAGCCATGGTGTTTTTGTTATGGAAATAGAACACTTGGTAAATGTGAAAAATATAAATCGTTTTAGTGCAAAAAATATGTTAATTAAATATGATGTTTTTATATTTTTGTCTATGACACTTCTATGTTAACACTTTTAATGTGGAAAAAGTACAAGAAAAATTGCTTCATTTCCGTGTGAACTTGCCCTTTAAGTCCTGAAACATGATGAGTGCTATCACATACTTTGATATTGATTTATTAAGTGCTAAAGCAAATTGATCACCAGTGACCAAGAGGATTTTACGATTTCATAATGTACCAGATAGCTCCTTTGTGCAACCACAGCCTTCATGTAACACAACAGTCAGAATTTGTCTTTTTATTGCAATAAAACAACTTTGAAAAAGATATGATAATAGGATAACTGGGGTTGTATGGATGTTTGGAGAATATATTGTTGGTTGAGTGAGTGAGGTTGGTTCAGTGCCGCTTTTGACAGTATTCCAGTTATATCACGGCGTGTCAGCTTAATGTGGGAGGAAAGCCCGAAATGATGCAGGTCTCGGACGTTTACCACTTCGGTGAAACCCACGAACACAGATATGGTGTCGACAAAATCGGGGCGAACCGGGATTCGAACCCACAGTCATAGGTTTCTTGCCTGCCCAAGGGACGCAACTCTGCGAATCGGTAAGCGACTGGTCCACCCGTGCCCCCTATTGTTGGGATAAATCCCTCAAAAAGGTTTCTTAATCAGCTCTATTAACATCTACTGTGAAGCTATTGTATGCATATATCCCACCTCGTCCTTTACCAATTCACTTTTACCGCTGCCTATTGACTGGCACGTTTCGAACAGATAGGACAAAGTGGCAAACTTAAAATGTCAAGCAGGATAGCCACGAGAATATTTGAAAGTCAGCGTTTGAACTCGAGCTCATGCGAACTTTACACTACCCACGAAACACGTGTTTGTGTTTGTGGCAGGGTATTTCGTGATACCCCATTTTCGTAAAATCAACATTACGCACGCACGCACGCACGCACGCACGCACACACACACGCACGCACGCACGCACGCGCATACAAGCACACACACGTGCATATAAGTTTAATTTTAACACGATGCACATTGTTATAGGGGCGGTAGGGTAGCCTTGTGGTTAAAGCGTTCGCTCGTCACGCCGAGGCTAAGGGTTCAATTCCCGACATTGATACAATTCGTGAAGCCCATTTCTGGTGTTCTCCTCTGTGATACTTCTGGAATATTGATATAAGCGGCGTAAAACCAAACTCACTCCACATTGCTATAAGTGCAATGGCCTTGAATGCGACGTTAACCGCCCTGCTCATTATGCTAAATACAGGATTGTCTACATCTGTTTCAGACTCGGATTATTTACAGATCACCGTCATATACATGAAATATTTCAGCGTTAACAAACAAACAAAACGCACACTCAATATCACTGAGCATCAGCACCACCATGGGGAATCCGGGTTGGACTTGGTCTCAAACAACCTACAGTAAACTACGTTTATAACGAACACGCTTATAACGAACTGACGGATATAACGAACTTATTTTTAGTCCCGACCATTTGTTGTAGATATGCTGTAAGTATGCTTATAACGAACTACGGTTATTACGAACTATAATTAGTGGTCCCCTCGAGTTCGTTATAACCGTAGTCTACTGTATTTTGTTCGTGAGAGGCGACTAGTGTACCTAATGTCATATTTGGAATCACACTTACTCATAAAATACAAATTCTAGTCCGGGATTCGAACCCACACTGTCAGAGTGAGGCACCTAATCGCCAGGACACAAAGGCAGCGATCTAACCTACCCAGGAACCAATGCTTCCCCAAATATGAAAGTCAGGCAACTGGTAGCCGAGATCACGTACTTTGTTTCACCCCTCTGACAAGTGCAATTTGGCACGGCTCCCATGGCCGAAAGCTATGAACACAGTGCCATTTAGCAAACGGTCAGATGTAACAGATGCTATATTTGGGATTACAATTTCTTTGTAAAGTACAGATATAACATTAGTTACATTTCACCTCTTTCTAAATGGCATTGTGTGTTCATGACCATATAGTGAGAGAGACACAGAGAGAGAGAGAGAGAGAGAGAGAGAGAGAGAGAGAGAGAGAGAGAGAGAGAGAGAGAGACTATCTAGGGTTAGGCTGGGTGCTCCGGGGATCCCAGACAACAACCACTACCATAATGTTTGTTTGTTTTTAACGCTGCACTCAGCAATATTCCAGCTATATTACGTCGATCTGTTAATAAAAGAGTCTGAACCGGACAATCCAGTGATTAATATCATGAGCATCAATCCACGCAATTGGGATCGATGACATGCATCAACCAAGTCAGCGAGCCTGACAACCCGATCCCGTTAGTCGCCTCTGACGACAAGCATATACTACTGCTGACCTGCCACATAGTGCTTTATTTGTATGTACAATGTAAAGTTGTATATTTCGAAAGCCATCATTCCCAAGTTGTCAGTTCCTACCGAGAACTATACGCCTACCCCTTGCATATACAAACAATTAAATAACATTAATCAACGTCACACCAACGCGCTGTTAGCAGTATACAGTTACCAATATATGTCGTATCGGACGACGAGGGAACCAATTTGTTTAGAAATGCTTCTTCTTCAGAGTTTCGGATGGTGGTCAGGTAACCTCCGCGAATCCGGCACTGGTGTTTTGCTTCCAACCATGTTATGTCTTCAGGAAATTCCACAGCAAGGTAGCATCTCAAGCCGTAATATGTCCAACCGCTGCCTCCGACACAAACTGAATGATGTTTAATATATCTTGTTATGTTCGGTATGTTCGTGAATGTATTTTCGCCTTGTAAAAACACTTTATTGGTTATTAAAAGTTAGCTATTAAAGAATCCACATACACAATATCTTGGCTAATCCTTTCATTATATTGGCTGCTGCTGCATGAATGATTATTCTATGTCATTTTAGGTTCATTGGAATTAGCTATAGCCGTAGCAAATTAACATATTCATTTCCTTATTCTAAGGGGACATGTCTAGAATATGACATCACTCTTATTGTAGAGTACTCTATATTAATGTTTCATGAAACACTGGTACCCCATACACTCATGCATAAGTACTGAAAAAAATGTTTTAATGCAATTTTTAACCGATATTATTATTATTATGTGGTTTGTTTGTTTGTTGTTTAACGCCGCAAACAGTAATATTCCAGCTATATGACGGCGGTCTGTAAATAATCGCATCTGGACCAGACAATCCAGTGATTGACATCATTAGCATCGATCCATGCAATTGTGATAGGATGACATGCATCGACCAAGTCAGCAAGCCTGACCACCGGATCCCGTTAGTCGCCTCTTACGACAAGCATAGTCGCCTTTAACGGCAAGCATGGGTTGCTGAAGACCTATTCTACCCCGGATCTTCACGGGTTTATTATGTGGAATGAACCACAGCGATGCCTTTGAACTTGTTCATTCACAATTTTGTACATTTTAATACCACCTCAGCTACAAAGCCTCCAATAAAGTTATTTTGCAATTTCCATTAGTGATATAAATTCTCAGTGCAAAGTACTTTCGTACTGGATAAGACTTAAAAGACAACCTTGAATTCATTGCTGATACGACTCCTCGAGACAGGTGATAATAACTATGTATCATTTAAGTGTGGTTTTGGTCATGCATGGTTTGCCAAAAGACGTCGGTAGCAGAGATATTTTAGAGGTATTGAAACGTCCATGTAAAAACATATGCCAACAAGAAAGGTTTTGTGAAGCACAAAATCCACTGTATTATTTGTTAGAATTTAAGCAAATATTTCACCAGAAAGCTATCCCATAGCAATTACATCTTTGGCACCTCGCAGCAATCCAACACGATATAGATGTAATAGTCATATATTCAATTTAAAAGCAGACTTTCAAAAATAATAGAAATTGAAATGCAATAATGTTTAAACCAATCATGGTGAATACCATGTATTACTTGAATGTCCACACTATACAGAATTACATACTAAAACATTCTACAAACTAATGGCAACATTAGGAGTTATTTGTAAAGATGTATCAAGATCTGTATCATGACCCGTGAAGATCCGGGGTAGAATAGGTCTTCAGCAACCCATGCTTGTCGTAAAAGGCGACTAACGGGATTGGGTGGTCAGGCTCGCTGACTTGGTTGATGCATGTCATCGTATCCCAATTGCGTGGATCGATGCTCATGATATTAATCACTAGATTGTCTGGTCTAGACTCGATTATTTACAGACCGCCGTCATTATAGCTGGAATATTACTGAGTGTGGCGTTAAACAAGAAACCAACCTACCATGATCATTTTGATACCAGTACTTATCTCATATGCTTGTAGTTATATGTTGTCATACACGTACCTGGGCAGATGTTCCATAGAAAGATGCGGATGTCTTCGTCCAGGGAGGTAATGTCTCGTATGAATAATTTCGATTTCAAATCAAGGAACTTCATCTCTGTCTTCAGTTGAACCATGTCGGTCTCGTATATGATCGATAGTATATGTACATCTGGATTTGAGGCTGCATAATCCTTAAATGCATCCAGTCTCCCATCATCATATCGTGAAAAATCACCTTTTATCATGAACACAATAAATTTCAGGGCACTCGGTCTCTGCTCCGTCATTTCAGTCAATAGTTTAGTGGCCATCGTAAAAGTCTTTTCAAAAAGACCTGGTTTTAAAGATTGTGTGAAACATAGATCCATCATAAAACGGAAGTACCCTCCGAGTCTGATGTTATCAATAAAATTACACATTTTTTCAACAGAATTTTCCCAAAGCATCACCACTGTAGCTCTAAGAAACACTTTGAATCTGTTGGCAATTATCAGAAAGCCTCTTGCCACTTCAGCGAGATTCAGGCAATCTGTAGCCACTGACATATCCAGAACAAAGACGATGTCAGTTTCTCTGTCGCAGGTGTTGATCCCAAGGCTTTCCCCTGCAGGAAATAGACAAAGTGGGACATGCATTAGAAATAGATTCTGAACATATATTGCAGTTTGAATGAATGGTTCACGTTATGCGTTCCTTTTGAAATTAGATAAGCACCGTCAAATCTACAGGTAACAGCGATATCACTGAAAACACATCACTGTATATTTATTTCCAGTCGAACTAAGAAAATTAAAAAGCAAACTCGTGTAAGCGATGATGATGACTTAAGCGAAATGGGCTGTGCCAAATAGTGTGTGTAGGTTTTCGAACTGATATATAGAAACACCGTGATAGGCTGTACATACCCAATGTATTTAGTTGCGTAGTCAAACGTTTGGGGTGTGTTAACGCTGATGTACTTTACTTGCATTTATGAGAGGCATCGGTGCGTAACATAGCTACTTCGAGCGAGTGCCTGAGTTAGGTTTAACGCCGCTTTTAACAGTATTCCAGTTATATCACGGCGTGTCAACTTAATGTCGGGGGAAAGCCCGAAGTGATGCAGGTCTCAGACGTTTACCACTTCGGTGAAACCCACGAGCACGGGTATGGTGCTGACAAACCTTGAAACATGATCGGGCGATACGGGATTCGAACCCACGATCATAGGTTTCTGGCCTGCCAAAGGGACACAGCTCTGCACAGCGAATCGCGGCGCCTTAGACAACTGGGCCACCCGTTCCCCCTAGATACGTCGAGCAAACAATGAGCATGGCTGGACACGATTAACGAAATGACACGTGCCTTGCATTGACAATACATGTCACCACAGATGTTTTAAACCGCGACGTTCATTCTGACGTCATATCGCTCTATGTGACGCAAACGATACACTGTCTGATGTCACTACAGGGGGTAGGTAAGCGCCCTATATTAAGCTCTCAGTTATCACAAATATTTGAAGTACATTATTTTGGTCGATTTCTATTGTAGTGTTTGCCCGAACTGCCTTGAATAATGTGAAAGCATCAACGTACAACGTAACCGATTCATCTATACCGGGACGCTGTCTGTACCAACACATGTAGGGATATATGCCGTCAGTAAAAGTACAGCACACCTTCATCAAGTTCTAAAGTAGAAGAACATAAGCGGCAGAACAATATCTGAACTCGAGTTGGTTGGTTGGTTGGTTTGTTGTTCAAAGCCGCACTCAGCAATATTCCAGCTATATGACGGCGGTCTGTAAATAATCGAGTCTGGACCAGACAACCCAGTGATTAATATCATGAGCATCGATCCACGCAATTGGGATCGATGACATGAATCAACCAAGTCGGCGAGCCTGACCACCCGATCGCGTTAGTCGCCTTTTACGACAAGCATAGTCGCCTTTTACGGCAAGCATGGGTTGCTGAAGACCTATTCTACCCCGGAATCTTCACGGGTCGTACATTAAAATGAAAAAGAAAAAAATTGTTATTCCACAAACCATAAGATGCTCGTTCGATATGCGGATGTCCTGAAGAAATTACAAGAATATATTCAATTTAAATTAATTGGCCTTTTTTTACAGAGAAAAGTGAATGAGCGAAGCATATCATGTCTCTTAACAAAATCCCAGTCTTGCAATTTGCTTATATGTGTAACCAGTGAATATCTTGGCTAGAATAGGTCTTCAACAATCCGTGCTTGCCTTAAAATGTGTCTATGCTGGTCGTAAAAGGCGACTGGCGGGATCCGGTTGTCAGGCTCCGTGATTTGGTTGATGCATGTCATCGTATCCCAATGGCGTGAATCGATGCTCATGATATTGTGGCAGATATGAATTTCCATGTATATCGGTTGTCATTTCAGGTTGTTAGAATTGTGATTGTTTATAGTTTTACCTCTAATAGTATTATCTTCAAGCGTTAGCCTAAATAGTTATTTTTAGATCTTTTTCACGTCTATTACGGTATTAAGGGGTGACAGGTTGTGTTGTGTCATTGCCTGTCTTGTGTTCTTTGTCTTGCGCGGCCCCTTGTGTTGATTGGCTTGTTTTTAAAATACTAAAAGCTACTTGCACGTCAGCCATTGCACTTCACAACAATCAGAGCACGTCAACGATCGCATCTCAGAGCACTTAGGACTAAACAACAAATCTAAAGGTTAGTATAAGGATTTGAAGGATTGTATATATGTTATGTACTGAGTAGTAATGGTATTGGTGTAAATTGATTATTCTAGTGCATCATAATGTTTGCTCAAATGTATAATCGTGTAGTTGTGTATAATTTGTGCAACGGCGTTTATACCTAAGTTTAATACTGTTCAGCATTATTTACATAACGCATATGCTTTAAAATGTTAGTTAAGGTGTATAAATGGTTGAGTGAAAGAATGAATTAATGAACGAATAATATGACCTGACATTTCATATATTTTATCGTCATGAAGTTTATTAGTAATTTATACAATACCACATTCAATTGTATTTCTATGTATGTGCGCATTTAGAATATTCTGAATGTTGTTTGTTAATTTTTATAGCAACGCTATATTCCTCCAGAGGACGTGGAATATCTACACCCCAGTGTCACCCGCAGGGTACGAAACTTATTATTGTGTCACTATATTGCAATTGTGTAAGATACATAGTTTCTCTATCTTTAGCATTCAATTTGTATCACGTTCATCGCAACGTCTACCTTAGTATGAAGTATTTGCCTAGTGTTTGTCTTATCAAGGAGTTATCGTTCTTGCATGGTTGTCTCAATGAAATGCGTTAATGATAATGTCATTATTTCTGTATAGTGTTATTTATTGCGCATGTTTTTTTAGGAACGAAATCATAATTACTCCTATTGTAATAGAAATGGTTTGTGATAATTTAATTTATTTATATATGTGTATATGTTAATCCTGAACTAGTATGTATTCCCTATACATGTGTTTCAGGGTGTCTATCTGTCAATAGACAAAGAAAATAAAGTCTCACACCCGTAGCCTGTGTCTGGTCTTCCTACGATCCCGGTTACATTATCAATCACTGGATTGTCTGGTCCATACACGATTATTTACTGGCCGACGTCATATAGCTGTAATATTGCTGTGTGCGACGTTAAACAACAAACACACAAACAAAACTTATCGGCGTATCAAGGGGTTTCAATATAAACAGAATAATAATGTAATGTGGCAAAAAAGAAAACAGTTTGAGCTTACCAAGTGTCTTGGGCTCTGCATTAGGGATCGCACATAAGGTACATGCAAGAAGCACCCCTACTGTCCACATCCTGGCCACCGGTCCATGCCTCTACCGTCTGGCAACAGAGAGTTCCAACTGCGTTGTCCCGTACCGTCTGGGTGGTAATGCAGCTCGTTATGATGACACATAACTATTGACGCTAATTAATTAGTTCCCCTGGCGACAAATTTCAAATACGCTTATGAGCTGATATCTAGATGACTAAATAAATTATTCAAGTGTTGCTGAAAGTGGAAAGAGGTGTGTTTTATCATTTTGCAACCGATTGAACGAATGACATTAATCATTGATACCATTTGTCTGAATGGTACGGGCATACGCTAATAACATCTGGACTACTTATGGAGATTTTTGTGCTAACAGTTTCACTTCTGTGAAAACAGAATGTCATTATAAATTATCTGCGTTAATGGCTGTCTTTCCAATCTCCCGCCGGACCCGAACTTTTATTCCCTCCGCTGAGGAAATGTAGGCCCCAAAGTGAGAAAAGAGTATTGTTTTACGCCGCTTTTACCAATATGCCAGCAATATCACGGCGTGGGACACGAGAAATGGGCTTCACTCAGTGTACCCATGTGGGGAATCGAACCGGGTTCTTTGGCGTAACAAGCGAACGCTTTGACCACTAGTGAGTGAGTAAGTGAGTTTGGTTTTACGGCGCTTTTAGCAATATTCCAGCAATATCACGACAGGGGACACGAGAAATGGGCTTCACTCTGTGTACTCATGTTCAGGAAACGGACCCCGGTCTTTGGCGTGACGAACGAACGCTTTAACCATTGCACACAAAAACGTAGGTCAATCTTTCGTCAGCTATATCTATTAAGAATTCGTTTCCAAGGCAAAGCAACAGGAATTAACTCAAGGACACCCAATGGTGACATATTTCAATTTACAGTGTTATAAACTTGTGATGTAAAAAGTTATATAATTAGTCAAGAACATTATAATATATATTCCCTAGCTGCTTGAGGTTGGAGATGAGAAACAAAAAAGCTATGATCTAAGAGCGTCCTATGACCAATATATCCCCGATGGTAATTTCCAAACATCATGAATATATGTTGCTTGAATATTAAAACCGCCTCAAGTATTTCTGGTGACAAATTTCAATGATCGAAGGGATCATAGCTTACGGCACCGCTTAGGACTGTTTTGTTATGATTGAGGGAGCGGGGCAGTGAGTTGGGTTTATTGCAGATTTGAACAGTATTTCAGTTACCTATATACATTATGTAGGTCTTAGACGTTGATCAATTAGGCTAAACCACACCAAGTTCACGAGTCTGTTAGAACTCATGATCAATTAATTCTGGTAGTAGACAAGGAACATTTTCAGAAAAAGGTTAATGGTGGAGGCATTTCAGGTTTACGGTTGGCTAACAACTTTTTTTAGACGTATTGGTATCTAAATGGATATAAGGTATTGTCTGGCTGCAATTTCAACTGTTAACTCACAAACTTAATAAATTCAAAATGGCCCCCACCGAAAAACGAAAAATTCGTTTTTGTCAAATATTTGGTACTTGGTGGAACCACAGATATCATTTCTCTGTATGTTTTCAGGTATAATGAATCCATACATTATCCCTCAATACGTCTCGAAAAAGTTGACCGACCGAAAACATGAATTGCCCTTATCAAGTTTGATATGTACATTTGCCTAGATCCTGCCCAGTCTAATGCATGAAGGATGCAATTCTGCACATAAAACTGCAGCGCTTTAGTTGATTTGTACACTGAGCCTCCTCTCTACACAACAGTGTATATTCAAGTGACCCATGAAGCTTCGAGGAAGAATAGGTCTTCAGCAACCCTTGCTTGCCGTAAAAGGCGACTATGCTTGTCGTTAGAGGCGACAAACGGGATCGGGTGGTCAGGCTCACAGCCTTGGTTGATGCACGTTTCCTAATTGCGTGTATCGATGCTCGTGATGTCAATCACTGGATTGCCTGGTCCAGACTCGATTATTTATACAGACCGCCGTCATATAGCTGGCATATTGCTGAGTGCGGCGTAAAACAACAAACCAAACAACTAGCCAACTCAATAACGTTATATATAAATAAAGTATTTATTCAGCATTCATCATAGGTAATTACATTGGCGTGTTTGATTTAACGTCAGAAAAAATATTGATGCATACAACTGTATCAAAATATCAAAACAGCATTTTCCATACAACACAAAATGGGTTTATCACGGTACAAAATAGTAAAAAAATGGCAAAGAAATTATACATGTATCTAATAGTGCATAGCATTTTCAAATTGTGGACAATTTCTGACCAAATGTTTGTCAACATACATGAACCATTTTAATCTGTTTCTTAATTTTTAATGATTCCCCCTAAAAAAATCATTTCATTCTTTTTGCATACTACCACTATTTGCAAAGGCTACACGTGTCTTGAGTTTCATTTTCTTCAACAAAACTCGTTCTTTTAGAAGTGTGATCACTTCAGACATGTGTTCGACAGCATTTCTCTTGTAATCATAATGACCGAATAACGCTGGGGGTTTGATCCCCAGGCGGATGTGGGGATGGCAATGGGGATTGGATTTTTTGTCATTGCCTCATGACCTTAACTGGCATCAAATGTTTTGCTGTAAAATCTAGGGCAAAATTATTGACTGGTACAAAGTATTTATTTCAATAACAAATGGCCAGTACCTTACATGTAGGTACGACTAACAATTCTTGGAAGAGTTCAGGGATGTGTTGCAGAGGGTGGCACACAGTTTTTTGGGGGAGCCGGAGGAGGGTGCACGACAGAGAGGGGAGCCGGAGGAGGGTGCACGACAGAGGGGTGAGCCGGAGGGGGGTACACGGCAGAGGGGGGAGCCGGAGGGGGGTACACGGCAGAGGGGGGAGCCGGAGGAGGGTGCACGACAGAGGGGGGACCTGGAGGGGGGTAAGCAGCATAAGCCAGGGGTTGTGGTATCTGGCCTCTATATCCACCTTGTTGTGAAGACGCGGCTAAAACAAATAAAAAAACATCAATTATTAAAAATATAAACTTCTGGTGATCTCGCAATACACAAAAATCTACATCGTTCTTTGTTTGATTGGAAAGTCAAAGTCAAGTCAAGTCAAAGATGTTTATTGTATCAAAGGCCATCGGCCCATATACAAGTTCAGATAAATACAGTGGGTGAGAATTTACAGATTGGGAGATACAACAAAAATTATATAAATATAACAATCATTTAACAATCGGTGATATTCTTTAGGACTTTCTAGGGTGAGGTAATTAAAATTATGAATTTCCACTCAACATGTTATTTCGTAGTTCCATCCCATGTTTTACAAATAAAGACAGTTTAAACATTACATCGGCATCATTCGATGACAAAATAGAAACAAAAGCTATTCTACTCGTCTTAGATAAGAAACATTCTGGTATATATTTAGTACGTAATTCTGCATAATAAGGACATTCAAAGGTAAAATGTATTTCGTCTTCTATTGCAGAGTTACAGAATGGACAAATTCTTTGTATTCTTTCAAGTGATATATTCCGTCCATAGTTAATCATAAGTTTTGACAAGCCAAGTCTGTATTTAATATATCCATTTCTTAGGTGACTATTTGTTAAAACTGATAGATATTTTTCTGGCTCTAATAGAGTCTTAAATGTTCTGTACAAATCATAACGTGAACTATTTTCCAAGTTGCATTGCCACCCTTGATAGAACATATTTATTGCTATTTTACGAAAATCAATTAGAAATAAATGTTGATCACCAACAGATTGGTTAAGCCATATATACCCATATCCATGTGAGAATAATAGTGTACTAATATGCGATACCCATGTAACCTTACCGATACTATCCAAATGAAAGAGCATGTTATAAGCTTTTTTCGGAAGCCGATGTTCTGGCATACGGATGATATTAAACCAATATTTTAAACACTTTATTTGTGAATTAATGTAAAGTGGGTATCTTCCACATTTTCCATATATCATATTATTTGGTGTTGCTATTCCAACGCGAAGAAACTTTTTACATGCCAGTAGGTGAATTCTTTCTAAACATTCATATCTTCGGTAACCCCAGACTTCAGATCCATACAATAAAATTGGCTGTATTTGAGTATCAAATAATTTGAAAAATACTTTTGGAGTAATAACTCCAAGTTTATGTGAAACAGACATTATATTAAGTAAAGCTCGTTTCCCTCGCAGTGATAAGTCAGATACACATTTGTTCATATTTAGTGTTGAATTAAACATTATGCCGAGATACTTATAACCATTAACTACATTAATTTGTTGTCCATTTAAGTACCATCTTTCCCTAAAATTTAAAGGACCCCCTTTTCTGAATACTATAATTTCTGTCTTATCTAAATTTACAGATAAATTCCATTCCTTAGTATATTTATCTAATACATTCAACTGATTCTGTAGACCAATAACAGTGTCAGATAGTAAAATAACATCATCGGCAAAAAGGAGCATAAGAAGTTCAAGGATGTCAACCACCATAACATATGGGGCACTGGACGTCTACAGGCTTTGCTGTGAGGAGTTTTATGGGATTATTATGTCCGTGGCGATCCGGGGTAGAATAGGTCTTCAGCAACCCATGCTTGTCGTAACGGGCAACTATGCTTGTCGTGAGAGGCGACCAACGGGATCGGGTGGTCAGGCGACCCAGTGATTGAAATCATGAGCATCGATCCACGCAATTGGGACCGATGACATGCATCAACCAAGTCAGCGAGCCTGACCACCCGACCCCTTAGTCGCCTTTTACGACAAGCATAGTCGTCTTTTACGGCAAGCAGGCGTTGCTGAAGACCTCTTCTACCCCGGAATCTTCTCGGGTCATCGAAGGTTATGTCGTGGCGCTGAAGGAACAAAAATAACGAAAATATGTTGTGTTTCAGTAAAAGGGAGCCTCAGCTAGAATCACTGACGTTAATTTTGAAGGCAAAACAGATATTGTTTGATCTCACACAAGCGATATCAACTGCGGGAGGGAGAATTGGATAATGAAACTTGCTCGGTCATTTCAAGTATGGAAGCCTCGGTTCTACAGTAATATTTCTAAATTGCAGCAGGAACATTCCAGTCTTTGATGTCTACATTTCACAACTTTTGAGGTACAATCGAGCATGCTCTTTCTTCGAAGATGTCAAAGAGCTTCATGCAGTTCTTGCTCAAAAGTTGTTTGATCAAGGTTACAACATTCAAGGCCTCAGTAGTGCTCTCAAAACAGCTTATGGTTGACGGTGTGCAGGGCGTTCCACATTTGACGCATCAGAAACACAAATACGTCTGATGCATTTCCCTATTTTGAATAGGACCATATATGTGTGTTATTGTTTTTTTCAGGTGAATAATTGACTTGCCTATGCATGTGTTTGTGACGGGTGCCATTGGTGGGGCAGTATACGCTCACTTTTCCGCGAACACCTGGTAGCTTCACTATTTGATAGTGACTCATCAACACATGATCCCGATACAGTCGGACTTGTGCAATCGGCTGTGCTTTTTGGAAGACATTTCTTATTGCTATTAAAAGATTTTTATTTGGGAATTAATTCAAGGAATGCGTTCAAACCTGTTGTTGACACCATCATGGGGCCTACTGGCTGAACGGCAATGACGCGCCGTGGTCTATTTGCTGACGCCACACAAGCACAGATGGCGACGATGACGATGACGATGAAGATTAAGCCACCAACTGACAATCCGACGATGAGGGGGATGTTTCTGTTGATGTAGGGAAATGATGATCACCTCATATATCAATGAATATGTTTGGTTTGGTTTGCTGTTTAACTCCGCACTCAGCAATATTCCAGCTATATGACGGCGGTCTGTAAATAATCGAGCCTGGACTTAGTTCATGCATGTCATCGAGTCCCGTGAAGATCCGGGGTAGAAAAGGTCTTCAGCAACCCGTACTTGCCGTAAAAGGCGACTTTGCTTGTCGTAAGAGGCGACTACCGGGATCGGGTGGTCAGGCAGGTGACTTGGTTGATGCATGTCATCGATCCCAACTGCGTGGATCGGTGCTCATGATATCAGTCACTGGATTGTCTGGTCCAGACTCGAATATTTACAGACCGCCGTGTTATAGGAGAAATATTGCTGAGTGCGGCGTTGAACAACAAACCAACCAACATCAAAAACAACGCAAGTGGACTATCAATATCTTCGTCATTCAACATTTGTGCGGTCATATAGCTTGAATATTGCTGAGTGCTGCGTTAAACAACAAACCAACCAATTACGTAGATTGATGGTCCAGGCTTGGATATGTACGTGCCGCCGGCCATTATATGGCTGAAATATTGCTGGATGCAGTTTTGAGCAACAATCAAAATATATAAATGTATGTACAATATTTAATATTTATGCTCATGGCTATTGCTAGTGTTAGTTTTTTAAAAGAACATAAGTGGTAAAGTGATATGTCTTGTAAATAAGCTGTATTTTTCAGAAAACCAAGAACTCGTTCAAGAACAGATTAAGAAAAGAGTCATTCAAAAACCATAATCATTTCGTATGAGTGGAGGGGTAGATACCTACACGTATGTGTAATCAAATGAACTTGAATAACCACTACAACAGTATTTGCCGGTGTAATAGGACCCACAGCAGCCATTGTAGCATTCTATATCAGTGCTGTATTTTGAAGAGCAGGTCTCTCCCAAGGCACCTGAAAGACATTGAAAAATCATACGTCGAGCAGTCAAGGACATATGAGTTCACAGAATACCGGCCTAAACGGCGAAATGTTTGTTTGTTTGTTTGAGTCTAGATCAGACAATCTAGTGATTGACATCATGAGCATCGATCCACGCAATTGGGATACGATGACATGCATCAACCAAGACAGCGAGCACTGACCACCCGATCCCTTTAGTCGTCTTTTACGACAAGCATGGGTTGCTGAAGACCTATTCTACCCCGAATCTTCACGGGTCTCGTATAGTAGTAGTAGTATTAGTCACGGGTCTCGTATAGTAATAGTAGTAGTAGTCATGGGTCTCGTATAGTAGTAGTAGTAGTAGTAGTAGTAGTAGGAGGAGTCACGGGTCTCGTATAGTAGTAGTAGTAGTAGTCATGGGTCTCGTATAGTAGTAGTAGTAGTAGTAGTACTGGTAGTAGTAGTAGTCACGGGTCTCGTATAGTAATAGTAGTAGTAGTCATGGGTCTCGTATAGTAGTAGTAGTAGTAGTAGTAGTAGTCACGGGTCTCGTATAGTAGTAGTAGTAGTAGTAGTAGTAGTAGTAGTAGTAGTCATGGGTCTCGTATAGTAGCAGTAGTAGTAGTAGTAGTGGATGGTAGTACAAGTTGGTTGGTTGGTTGGTTTGTTGTTTAACGCCGCACTCAGCAATATTCCAGCTATATGACGGCGGTCTGTAAATAATCGAGTCTGGACCAGACAATCCAGTGATTAATATCATGAGCATCGACCCACGCAATTGGGATCGATGACATGCATCAACCAAGTCAGCGAGCCTGACCACCCGATCCCGTTGGTCGCCTTTGACGACAAGCATAGTCGCCTTTTACGGCAAGCATTGGTTGCTAAAGACCTATTCTAACCCGGATCTTCATGGGTCAACATACATCGTACTATGTGAGTGAGTGAGTGAGTATGGTTTTACGCCGCTTTTAGCAATATTCCAGCAATATCACGGCGGGGGACACCAGAAATGGGCTTCACACATTGTACCCATGTCGGGAATCGAACCCGGGTCTTCGGCGTGACGAGCGAACGCTTTAACCACTAGGCTACCCGACCGCCCCCCATCGCACTATATGATGGCGGTCTGTAAATAATCAAGTCTGGTCCAGTGATTGACATCATGAGCATGGATATTAATTTGTAGAGTATTATTACAGAATTAGTCAATAGCGTTAGGTAACCTTGGCTATTTTGAGGGATAGAGTGACAGAATGTAAGTGATGTGTGTGAGGAAGGGGGGCAATTGGAATCTTGTGAGTTGGCGTAAGCTGTTGAGTAGGGAAGTTGTTTAGTTATTTTAGTATATATCATGACCGGTGAAGTTCCGGGGTAGAATAGGTCTTCAGCAACCCATGCTTGCCGTAAAAGGCGACTATGCTTGTCGTAAAAGGCGACTAACGGGATCGGGTGGTCAGGCTCGCTGACTTGGTTGATGCATGTCATCGATCCTAATTGCATGGATATATGCTTATGATGTCAATCACTGGATTGTCTTGTCCAGACTCGATTATTTACAGACCGCCGTCATATAGCTGGAATATTGCTGAGTGCGGCTTTGAACAACAAACCAACCAACCAACCAACTCGAGTTCATATATTGTTCTGCCGCTTATGTTCTTCTACTTTAGCTACCTGTCGATCCTAACGAGAACTTGATGAAGATGTGCGGCGTTAAACAACAAACAAGCAAATAGTATATATCATTATTTCATGTTGTGGTAGTTTTGGTAGTGGTGATGGTAGTGGTAGTAGTGAGTGGTGGTAGTGACAGTAGTACATACTAGCTGTACATGGTAGTAGTGGTGGTAGTAGTAGTAATAGTGGTGGTAGTGACAGTAGTAGTTGTACCTATTAGTAGTGGTGGTGGTGACAGTAGTAGCTGCACCTATTAGTAGTGGTGGTAGTGATAGTTGCAGGAGTAGTCGTACACGTAGTAGTAGTTGGTGTGTTTATTGGCAAAGAGAGAGGTCCAAACATGTTATGGACGTCGTCAAAACCTCCAGTAGTGGATATTCATGTATTCGATTTTGCATTGTCGTCGTCATATATATATTCATATTTGTCACACAAATTAATCGAAATTATTTTTCATGCATTATATTTCAGGCAACAAATGTAGGAAATAATTATGTCGTCACTCTTTGCTAAATATTGTGTAGTTTGGTGCAATTTCTGACTCAAGAAAAGCTTAACAGTAATCCAGTAGATATGTGTTATCACCAATATGACAGGAGCGTTGCTGTGCGGCGTCAGGCATCAAACACTTACTTGTTTACGCAAATTGTGTGAATAACGGCTACCTGTTAGGCAGGATATGCTTTCCCTTTTCGTGACCACCTGGTTTCATTACTGTTTTCAGTGATACATTCATATAATTTTCACCGCTATTTTGCCTTTTACGGCCGGCAGAATTTTATATATATATATATATATATATATTAACGTGGTCCTGAGTACACCGTAACAGCTCGAATGTTTACCTTTTCATTTTCATTGTGGTTGAACACTGGCAAATATATACGTGTTCGAATAAAAATAATTTTCTATTAATATTCACACAGATAAGAATTGTAGGACTTGCCTTTAAGGAGAATGAGAAGAAATCCAGTAACATAATAGAGTCCCTCCATGCTCGAATGTTCTCCAACACTGAATAAGATAGTGTGTAACTAGCAGTAACTACGAACGCTAAAATGAAGGGGTTGGTACGCAAGATAGTCACCATGGGCGACTATGTCCTGTTACAACATTGCTGACCGTTAAAGTCCCGATAGCAAAATACTCAATGTAAATCAGAGCTCCAGATAAGCTTCGTATCTGCGTAAAATACGCATCAGAAATGCAGAAATACGCAGTAAAATAAAATCCAAGCGTATCAAATACGCAACGAACATTACAGATACGTTACAAAAATAAAACGTGTGCGTATCATCAACATATTGTGAAGTAACCCTGCGTATTCGATTAGCAAATCAGCAACTTATTTTGAAATTATAAACGGGCATGCCGTCAACCTTGCCAAACTCAACGATGACAGTTACATCATGATCATTTGCCATCACACTTTCTTGTGGAAGTATCGTGGTATTTTTGAGTCCTATAAAGCTCTCGAACCCATACGACATCACTTTGCAGGGACTAGATGAATAGTGTTTTTAAATATTTAACTTAAATACCCACATGCGTAAAACTAGTGGGTAACAGAAAACAAACAAACAAACAAACAAACTTTAGTAGGGCTGTAACTCGAGGCCGGGCCTGTTTCTGGTGTGTCGTGCTATTTTCGTGTTGTAGGACGGCAGCTCATTTTCATCAAGAAGAGGGGGGGCACGGGTGGCCCAGTCGTCTAAAGCGCCGCGATTCGCTGTGCAGAGTTGCGTCCCTTGGGCACGCCAGAAACCTATGATGGTGGGTTCGAATCCCGGTTCGCCCCGATTATGTTTCTAGGTTTGTCAGCACCATACCCGTGCTCGTGGGTTTCACCGAAGTGGTAAACGTCTGAGACCTGCATCATTTCGGGCTTTCCTCCCACATTAAGGTGACACGCCGCGATATAACTGGAATACTGTTAAAAGCGGCGTTAAACCCAACTCACTCACTATCTCTAAACGACTGAATACACTTGCGATGATATATCAAACTGCTTGTAACTGCTTATCAAAGTTGTGTGCCTTCTGACCCATGACACAAAGAATAGATTGTGACTCAGACTATAAATCACAATACATTCCATTGAAACTATGCGATACGGTGGGTCATGTCCTGAGCTAAGGAAGGATTTACACAAATGTAAGCATGGAGCAACCTCGGGTTATCTGTCTCGCGTGAACGAACGTGTACGACTCAAGCCTAATGAAAAGGCACGCATAAGTCGTCATGATCACCACGTCTTTCTAGCAGGCAAAGGTCCCGAGGGGTTGGATATGTTTAGGTTTGTTTGTTTGTTTGTATATTTGTTTGTTTGTTGTTTAACGCTACACTCAGCAAAATTCCAGCTATATGGCGGCGATCTGTAAATTACGCTGATATGTGCGATCTACCTTTACTTCACACACGATTTCGCTGAAATTAATAAAATAGGTTATAAACGTGATAAAAAGTCCAGATATACAATGAACACTTTTTTATAACCAGACAGAGTAATTACATGATTATTTGCGTACTTCAGCAAAATTTCATTTTTTTGACATGGTGTTTCCGGTGCTACGACCTGACGGTAATGTCTTTGCGCTGGAACAAAATACATCAAAACTTATTTTCAGCTGATTTTGGCATGCAAAATGCGCATCCCCTTTACACAGATGTAGTTTGTTGAAAAAAGTGCGCACTATACTCAGGGAAATGCGCTGTTCAAATCACAATATATATTTTAGCAAATACGTTATAAATGAATATTATATTATATTATATATGACCGTACATGTATGCTGTGATGCGTATCCCGTTTTCTAAATCATCCCCCTACGTAAAGTGCGTATTTTCATCAATACATACGCCGATATGGCCTTTATTTTCAGCCCTGACTGCTTAATTGGCAAACGGACCGCCTCTGTGATCAAGTGGTAGAGCGTCCGCCCGGGGAGCGGAAGGTCCGGGGTTCGATCCCATAACCATACCAAAAGACGTTAAAAGATGGTACTTGTTGTAACCCTGTCTGGCGCTCGGCATTAAGGGGCTAAAACAAGCACTGGTCGGCTCCGAGTCAGTATACTGTGTCTGAGTGGGGTATTCATGTTAAACTGCGGCATGGTATCTCAGTGAGCTAGCACTTTAAACCGGCATCAGTCCGGACTAGTACAAGCAGTCACACAAACACACACACGTACATGCACATCGCTATATAAGTGCAATAATCTTGGACGCGACGTTAAACCCCATTTCACCTCACCTAATTGGCAAACGTGTTGTAGCAATGGAAATAATCACATTAGTTTTGATCAAATGGCAGTTGTGACATCGCTGCTAGTGACATCTTCACTCTGTTCCCTGACGTCACACTGTTTCCTGACGTCGCACTGTTTCCTGACCTCCTGCATGAGGTACACAACATCCTCTGATACAGCGAGTCGATCTGGTCGGCTTTCCAATGACAGGCAAACCTTCAGTATATCCTGAAACAGAAATTGTATTAATCATATTTCAAACAAATCTTGTCATATTCCGCCAGTTTGAATCTAACGACATTTTAATTACATGAACGTGTGCGTGTACATATTCTACAATGAATATTGTAAAAGCTATATAACATAAGTTTTAAATAGTGATGTCTCTTACCAGTTTACCGGTTATTGCACATTCCTACTTGTTAACCGACCCGTGAAGATCCGGGGTAGAATAGGTCTTCAGCAACCCATGCTTGCCGTAAAGGGCGACTATGCTTGTCGTAAAAGGCGACTAATGCGATCGGGTGGTCAGGCTCGCTGACTTGGTTGATGCATGCCATCGATCCCAATTGCGTGAAGCGGCGTTAAACAACCAACCAACCAACCAACCAACTTGTGCCGAGCATTGGTATGACGCGGCCCCGGACCTTCCGCTCTCTAGAGCTCTACCACTAGACCACAAATGCGGTCTACATTATTCCCAACGCACATCGATAGTGTTCAAGGAAGAATAGCACCTGTTGTCTAATTATTGTTGCTGCCTCAAATTTTGACCCCTTGCATTGTTTTTTATGAATCTAAACCTTATCCCGTGTATTATAAATGTCGTTTGTTGATTATTCATTGATCGTGTGTGTTTTTTTACTATCTGGTTCTACATACCCAATGTCATCAATCCCAATTGCGTGGATCGATGCTCATGATATCAATCACTGGATTGTCTGGTCCAGACTCGTTTATTTACAGACCGCCGTCCTATAGCTGGAATATTGCTGAGATCGGCGTCAAACAACAAACCAACCAACCAACCAACCAACCAGCCAACCAATCTGTATACCCACGACACACATGGAAGAAGAAATTAAAAGACATGTGACACTCAAATTACCTTTTTACACCTGCTGACAAATATGTTTTCATCACTGACTGGCTCGAAGTGTCTCTTCTTCTGGTGAAGATCCAAAATGTAGACGACGATGAGGCATATAAGGTCACACTTCACGTCCCGAGGTACATCACGTGACTGCATGGTTGTTTCAAGAGTCTCCATGTCATGGGCCGGGACGCCAACGTAGGTCCGTACATGATTCATCGGATGATTTGCTATGCTTGGTCCTGATCAATATGAGTTAAACATTGCATACACATGCAGAAATGTCATTATGTTTGTTTCAAAATGGATAGTATGGTTCAGGGTAACTCTAAAGCTCATAGAAGTCACTAGAAGTCTCCTTTACAAAATAGAGGATATAACAATATTTTGTTGATTTTACAAACGGTAAAAGACAACCTTCGAGTGGCAAAATATTGTGCATTGAGGTTGCACCGTGTTGCAAGTAGTGCTGAAGATTAAGTGATAACATGCATGTTTTTAAGACCATCTTCAATAATGCGAGTACTGATCATCATCATATTCAGTCGTTGAGGAGGCAGGTACATAATTGTATATTTCTCACGAATATAAGAGGATGATTTGGTAGCTTTCTCGTTGGTGTCATTTGCGGATAAATATGCAAATTGTGGTCATAATATTTATTATATGTTTGTATTGATCATGTATATTGACGTTTTCATGAACTTATATCACTTCGTTGAAACACATAAATGCATACCTGTTTCTCGTGTAGATGATAACTTTTCCTCCTTTCTGGCTTCTCTCTATCAACATATTCATATTTCATGTTTAATATGATTACTAATACGTTTGTAGATGTGTGAGACATATATGATGGTGTATAAGTAATTGTTATAAAATCAATGTTTAGTAAGTTGGCAGTGTTTCTCAGACTACTTACCCAGGCCTGTACTATACTTGGAATTGTATATAATACCGGGTTTAAAGCTGAGTTCACAGGGAGCACTGTTACTGCAGTCCAAGAATATACCTCCCCATCTATAGGAACCCCTCGTAGTGACAGCACCCCTAGAAGACAAGGTAAGATGGGTTCATGTGGTATTTATATCAATATGAAGTGAGTTGAGGTGAAATGGGGATAGTGCCAGCTAACTGAGATACCATGCCGCGGTTTAACATGAATACTCCACTCAGACACAGTATACTGACTCCGAGCCGACCAGTCTTTGTTTTAGCCCCAAAGCCGAGCGCCAGCCAGGGTAATAACAAGTACAATCGTTTAACGAGGATCGAACCCTGGACCTTCCGCTCTCCGGGCGGATGCTCTACCACTAGACCACGGAGGCGGTCCATATTATTATGAACAAATGCTAGTTCTTGTTTAATTTATTTTTTGTCTGATTTTCGTTTGGCCATTACTTAAGCACTGATTCTACCGGAACATGCATGACACATGTCATTACATTTCATAATACTCACCCATGACACCAACAGGGAACCAACAGAGGAAATCTGTCAGGACGACGAGGATGAGTCTCCTGGCAATGGTAGTGTCATGACTGGACTTAGATGATCTTATCGTGGATGATGTCGTAACTGCTCTGTATATCAGAACTTGGCAAATCCCTATGAGTAGGAACATGACAAAGTTGAAACCCACAAATATCCCAGTTGAATACTGCCATCCTGGTTGTCGGTTATTTGAAAGAGGCAGTGCAAGACAGACACTGTTCTGGGAGTAGAGATTCCACTTCAGTGAAGGTAATAGAGGAATACCTGCTAGGAGGATAGCAATAATCCAGCTAATTGCTGCAGTCAAACCAGCTGTCTTTAAGGAAAACCTGAATTGCCCAAACGGAAAGGCAACGGCCAGAAGTCGATCTAACGTGATAAGTGTGATGAAGATGCACGAAGCTTCCGAGGATAAGGTGGACAGGAAGCCAGCGAAAGCACATAGTGTGCTATGTCTCCATTCATAATCATGCCACACGTACGATCCTTTAAATGATGAATCCACAAATCCAATGATCATCATGTAGAGGCCCATGAAGAAATCAGCGATTGAGAGATTTGTCACAAGTACACCATAGCTTTTATGAAGGGATTTTCTGTTATAAATGAACCTGTATATGATCACCAGGATGTTTCCAACAACAGCAATCACAGCAATGATCCACAGCAGAATTCGAAGGATATCTTGGCCCAGAAGGTCCTCACATGAAGCAATGGTACTTTGACTTGACAAACAGTCATGTTTATTGAGACTTTTAGGTCTAACAGAATCGCAGCAAAGCTTGTATGAATCAGTTTGTAACTGTTTTAGTGACGATAAGCCCCCAAAGCTTCCTTCATAAAATTGTAGTATGTTGTTTTGGCGAATATCAAGATACTCAAGGAACTGCAAGCTTGAGAATGATCCAACACTGATGTAATTCAGATGACAGGCGGACATATTAAGTGTTCGGAGATTCGAAAGGCCCCAAAGAATTGTTGCCTTTAATTCCATGATAAATGTATTGAATAAATTCAATTGTTCTAGTTCTGGTACTTCTAAAAATGTGCCATTGTCAATGTTTGAGAGGTTAACATTGTTGGATAAGTCAAGGTGTCTCAATTTAGGGAACTTTGAGAAGGAATCTTTAACCAGGTGAGATATCATATTGTGACTTACATCTAACGTTAAAACATTTGGAAACTTTGGAAAAACTCCTTCCATCCGAATTATATTTGAGGATGACAAAATGAGGACAGTCAGATAATGCAAATCCAAAAAATCAACGTCGATTAGTTGAAGATTCATCCCTGATAGATCTAATTTCCGGACATCTTTTGGAATTTGATGCGTCTCATTAAAATTTGAATCACAACGTATGACTCGTCCACTACAGATGCAAGACGGTGGACACTCGCTCTGACACATACGTTCGTCATCTCCATCTGGACAATGCGGTATACCGTCACACAGCTGACTTGGGGGAATACAGTATGTTTCCCCTGAACATGGATAATAGCCTGGGCATCTGTACTCGTCTGAAAGAAGGATGATCCTGATCAACATATTGACAGATGAAGAAGGCACATGTATCTGTCGAAGAATGACATCTGATAAATATTGTATTCTAATCGTGTTAATCAATGAAGTACGTATGTTGCAACTGTGAGACGACAATACTGTTTGCTGTTATATATAGAGAAGGTATTATTCATGAAACAACGGTAGCTGAACTATCATCAACCGTATTTCCAGAGCATTTGATGTTCAGGATATTAATTCCCCAGAATCGTCTTTTGTTAAATCCAACGTTTTAGAATTGAAATTGGACAGGCTCGTGAAACAGTATATAAAATCTGAACATTCTTATTGTGAAGCACCAGTTTGGAGGTATAAAACTCACAACAACGTTGTTCATCGGCAGCATCCAGACAGTCGTTGACGCCATTGCATACATACTGTATTGGGATGCAGTAGCTGCTGGGGCACTTGTAATGTGTTTCTTCACATTCCACCAAGCCTTAGCATGAAAGTGAATTAATACAAATATAGGTTCCCGAAAAAATGTTATAATATGATGGTACTCTTTGATAAAAATGGAAAACGAAATTGGGTAACAGACGTAAAAAACTTGGCTATGTTTGGTGTGAACAAAATATACAATGTCATTCATATTTCATTAGATCATTAACACAAGGACTAAAAGATATATATTTACAAAATTTGTCTCAATCTGTATCTGAATCAAACAAATGGTAAAAAAATGATTTATATCCCGAACAGTATTGATCTTGTTTAAATGTAAAAAAAATTCCGAGTTTCCCTAGCAAGATTTTGATGTTATGTTGCTCACATGATTTATTTATTAAAACTGGACGTTACACGGGTATTAAAAGAGAAGAACGCATTTGTCAATTGTGCGCCCTAAATGACGTTGAAGATGAATACCACTTCCTTCTTATATGCCCATTTTATGCAACATTAAGGGCTAAGTATATACCTGAATATTATCATGTCAATTCCAATTTCTTTAAATTCACATCGCTGTTAAACAACTCTAAGTATCTACTTTTACAAAATGTATCTATGTACATTTATCATGCAATGAGACACAGAAAACATATTATGTTATAGACTCTACTACTCTGAATGTACAAATCATAAATGTACATAGGCCTGTGGCCTCCATCAGTAAGGAAATAAAGAAATTGAACAGGATATTTAGCCCAATTGTTTGTGTAATAAATATTTCTACATTCTAGGTCGGTTTGAAATAATTAACCAAAAGGAAAGCATAATGGGGCCAAGGTTTTCACTTAAATGGCTACTACATCACATTCAGAAGGAAAAGCATCAACTTGCCATCACTAATACAGATGCCATTATAACAGTAACATTGACATTTTAAGGGTGTTACTAAGTTAGACTGACACAAATAACCAGAGCAACTGATAATTTTGCTCTAGAACGAGACCAACTTGTTTTATAGCTATAGTTCTTTTTCTGAATCAAAACCAACTTACTGCAGTTTCCATCGCTTGGAAAATGTATGACAGCTATCCGGGATTCGAACCCATTTGACCACTTTCTAGATGGCATTGTGTGTTCATATCGGAATGACTGGTAGCAATAGCAGTCGGGTACACGCTGTTCGAAAAATAGGTAGCTATGAATTCAAGTTATGATCACTCATTCAAGCATAAGGTCAGTACACTGTTCTTTCCAGTAAAATCCAGAAGCGTGACAATTGCATATTACACACCGCAGTTTTCGTCCGAGCCATCCGCACAGTCTCGTGTACCGTCACAGTAGAAGGAGAAGGAGACACACCCGCTTTTAGTGCATTGAAACTGGGTGCTGGTGCAGGACGTTCCTTAAAACATGAAAGTAATATGCATGATGGCAAGTGTCAGCATCTGTAACGATTCAAAACAATGTATCTCATATCAATCAAAATACAACTTACTGAAAATATTATCCTTTTCAATTGGTTCTCTGACCCGTTTCAAACTATGCACCAAAAGGAAAAAAACATAAGACTGGAATGGATAAATTGATCTCTCTTTTTTTTTTTTGGGGGGGGGGGGGGGGGGGGGTTCTGCATCTTTCTGTATTTTATCACTTCAAAGACTGCTTATTTTAGCATTCATGCAAACAGTGTAAATAACAATGCGAAATTGTACAGCTCAAGAATTCAACACAAGCCCCTCCCATTCTATCATCAGGCATTCAAGAAACAGTCCGGTTTTTTCTCGATTTTATCAAAACGTAAACGGTTAAAACATTGCTTGGTTAGCTAATCAAATGTCATCGATCCACTTGAATTCGGATTATGAATATATAATCCTACCTCCTGTCATATGATATCAAGTATATCAACACTCTTCGATAAAATTTTAGACTTTCATCGACGAGTGTTAATATGTATATTATCAAAACAAATAGTTTAAACAAGAAGTGATCGGGAAAGTTTTGAAAACACCTGGTTGGATAGTAGGCAAAAGATACCTTTGTCAAAGCCTCTTGATTTTCGACTGTAGATATGTGTACATTTTATAAATACCAATAACCACATTTTTCGACTTTTCCTGCAATGAGATAATTAATATTACCGCAATTTGATTCGTCACTTCTATCTTTGCAGTCGAACTTCCCATCACAGAACTTGAACTTTGACACAAGTTCTCCGTTAGTGCAGTTAGTAAACAGGTCATGGTCGTATCCAGAGGAACTGGCTACTGGAAGCGATGGTGTAACTGAAAGCATGAAATATTGTATCAGCATATGTCTATCTCTAATTCCATTATGCACAGAATACTTTATCCTCGTAAAACTGACATCTTGTCCGTTTAGGTAGTAGCAGTCGGGTAGCCTAATGGCTAAGATGCCATTAGGGTTCGATCCTCATGTTAAGCTCTTTTTGATGTCCAACACAGTGATGTGGCTGGAATATTGCTAAAAGCGGCGTTGAAACCTCCAATCACTCGTTCAATTACTCCCAAATTCAGGAAACGTCAGTATTTATTCCACAAGTGATTCCATTTACTGAACGCACATGTTGATGCACCTGCCTCTGTTCAAGTGAAAAGCCAATGTCGTCACCACCACATCAGAATGGAGCAATGTTCCTATCGGGCTTACATCTTACAGCTGCCTGCGTCATTTCAGTCCAGTAAACATTCGTTTCCATCTTTCTATCTCATACAACATGGCAACAAATCGCATGAAGAACAAACTATCCGGACAAACGTTGATCATAAATTTTGTTGTTGGACTTTAAAATGGAAGTGGGTTTGAAATGCACAACAAATAGAAATCCAATACGATGAGGCGACAACATGCATATATATACTGAGAGGCAATGAATGCATATACCCAATTGAAAGTGATATACTTCAAAATCGATTATTTTAATTGTGGCAGTCAATGAGTGTTGTGAGGGACAGGCTGCACACAAATCGGGGTATGATAAACAAGTGTGAAAATATGTAGTCATCTGTAAGTCAATGCCGCGTTCGACATGCTTAAAGTCCAGCTACAGGAACGAATAAACACGAAACACATAAACAATCAACATTAAATGCATATTAAAAGGCTGTAGGTCTTACATTTAATGTAAAACCTCTTAGCAGGTCTCACTTGAAAGTACTACCATGGATTCCATGAGATAGCAAGATACCTACAATGCCAGAGACAGTAGGGTTGTAATGTTGGTTCTGGCCGTCCCCAGTACTGTCCTGAAGCGATTACGGAGGGGCGTAGGGTCGATAGAAGTCACATGGGGTGAACCAGTACGTGTTGGGTCGCTGACCCTTCCGTGGCTCTCAGTTGACTTGTGGACATGAACGTGTCAGGCAGCTCCTTCTTGACTGATTCGACAGTTGAATACTGGCTTGTTGATCCTTCACCGGACATGTTATTTATAATGATGTTGTCGCAATCAAAGCACCCTGTGCTTTATAGTGAGTGAGTGCGTGAGCTGGGTTTAACGCCGCTTTTAACATGATTCCAGGAAAAAATATCGGTGTGTCGGCATACTTTAAGAGGAAAGCATGAAGTGATGCACGTCTCAGACGTTTACCACTTCAGTGCAACCCACGAGCACAGGTATGGTGCTGACAAACGTCGATACATTATCAGGGCGAACCAGGGTTCGAACCCACAATCAAAGGTGTGTTTCTTGAGGGGTGTGTGTGAGTGTGGCCGTTTTTCCGGACTAATGCTGATTATATAGTGCTAGCCCATGCCGCAGTTTAATATGGATAACTTACTCAGACCCAGTATATTGATTTCGAGTCGATAAGCCCCTTATTGCCGAGGCCGGGTAACAAAGAAATATGGGGATTGAACCACGGACCTTCCGCTCCCTGGGCAGATCTCGATCCACTAGACCACTAAGGCATTCCCAATCCTAAATGACGACAGCTAGTTCAAAGTAAATGGTATCAAAGAACAATGCTTGACAATAATACGTTAAACTATATGTTATAACACCATTTTATACATATGGCATTAATTCAGCACCGCCTGACTCAACATCCAATTCCAAATTATAATCACACACCCTTATCTGAACTCTTTGGCATTACCTTAGCCGCCAAGTGAGAGCGAGATAACATCCAGTTCACACTCTGAATGAACTGACCAAGGCACTGGACCCGGATGGCAGAGGATCCGGATCTGAATGTTGAAAATCTGATCTGATCCTGTAATAGATTCCGCTCCCTAATGTACATCGAACATTCTCATACAATGTATGCTCCCTCTTGTAACAGCATGGCGATCATTCCGGTGATCGGCAAAAGTGCACGCCAACCTTATGAACTATATAAACTGTTCTAAAGACTGACAGTGTTTGCTGTGTGGAGATACCGCATAAAATGGCGACGAGGAAAACTTTTATGGACGTATGAAAGCTCCTTGCTGTGAGTTATACCCGTATCGGCTCTTCAAGGATCGTCGGCGTCGTGAGTGTTTTCATCAGTAAATCAACATGGCGGCGTTCGGGAAGATAGATGAAAATGACTTAAATGATAAAGAAGATTGGGGTGAATATATCGAGAGACTCGAGTTTTATTTCGAAGCTAACAAAATAACTGATGGAAGTAGGAAGCGTGCAATCCTAATTAGAAATATAGGTGCTAAAGCTTACAAACTTTTGAAAAATCTGGCGTCTCCCGGGAAGCCAGGGGACCATTCATTTTCTGCTTTGGTCAAATTGATGCAATTACACCAACACCCGAAACCGAATGTCATGGTGGAAAGAAGACGATTCAATATCAGAAATAGACAGCCTAATGAAAGTGTTTCAGATTATGTTTCTGAATTAAAGAGACTTGCATCGACTTGTGAGTATACTGATTTGGAGGTGCCATTGAGGGATCGTTTAGTTTGTGGAATTAATGATGAAACAATGCAGAAACGCCTCTTAATTGAGAAAACTTTGGATTATAGTAAAACATATTCATTGTGTCTTGGCATGGAGATGGCGTCAAAGGAAGTTAAAGACATTAGAGATGAAGCAACCCCTCAAGCAAACAACACTGCTGTACACAAAGTGTAATCTATGACATGTGACCGATGTGGAGGCACAAATCACAATGGCAGAAACTGTTTTTACAGAAATACAGTTTGCAACGGCTGTGGTAAACCAGGACATACTGTGCGTGTGTGTCATAGCTCATCCTCTCAGAATCGACATTCTGCACAGTCACATGGTAGAGGCCGAGGCTGTGGATGTGGAGGTGAGACACATCAATTGAGTTCTACTGCCCAGGAAGATGTAGAATATGAACTATTCAAGATGGACACTCATAGTAAGCGTACGTCACAACCTGCGAGGCGAAGGGTTGAACCTTACATGATTGATATGACTGTAAATGGGAAACAATTATCTATGGAGATTGACACAGGGGCAGCAACCTCAGTGATCAGTGATCGAACATTCAACTCGTTATGGAGACCTCATGAGAGACTAAAACTGTTTGAAATGACTGCAATTCTTCGATCGTACACTAAAGAGACGATTGAAGTCATGGGTAGGTGTGATATTTATGTATGTTATGGTAATCAAGAAGCAACATTATCTCTTGTGGTAGTGAAAGGAGATAGTGAGAACCTTCTAGGGAGAGACTGGTTACAATGTATCAAGTTAGATTGGGGAAGAATCCTGAAAGTGAAAGATTACAGGACATTTTGAGATCACATGCAGATGTTTTTTCAAGAAGACATTGGTGAGTTCAAAGGTCACACAGTTAAATCCAGATATCAACAAATACACCTATATTCTACAAACACAGAAATGTAGCGTATGCTCTCTGAGAGGACGTGGAGACAGAATGGAATCGGCTAGAGAAAAAAGGTATCATCAAGCCCGTACAGCATTCCGAGGGGGCGGCACCTATCGTTCCGATAATCAAATCAAATGGCAAGTATCTTCGACTTCCGTTCGGGATTTCTGCAGCGCCAGCCGTTTTTCAGCGCACTATGGAGTGTCTGCTGGGAGACATTCCGTCTGTATGTGTTTGCTGGGAGACATTCCGTCTGTATGTGTTTACCTTGATGACATACTGATCAGTGAAGAGACTGAACGTCAACATCTGGGGAACATTCAGACTGTTTTATCCAGACTGGGTAATGCAGGGTAACGACTCAATGGGCAGATATGTAAGTTATGGCCAAATCTGTAGAGTATTTGGGACACAGAATAGATTCAGAAGGTCTGCATCCTTTGGATGTAAAAGTGCAAGCCATAGTAGTGGCTCCAGCACCTAGAGATACCAAGGAACTGAAATCATTTCTGGGAGTTCTTACCTAAACTTAGCACTACACTTGCTCCGCTTAATCGATTGCTCAGGAAAGATGTATCCTGGAAATGGGGACCAAATCAAGAGAAGTCTTTTAAAGCTGTGAAACGTCACTTGTCATCGAGCAGGTTACTCACATCAGATCAAACTTGCCTGCGATGCTTCACCTTACGGGGTAGGAGCAGTGCTATCTCACATCTTTGATGATGGCTCTGAGAAATCAATCGCGTTCGCTTCACGCTCACTCACTCAAGCCGAGAAGAATTACTCGCAGCTGGATCGAGAAGCGTTAGCCATAATCTTCGGAAGTAAGAAGTTCCATCAATATCTATATGGACGTTCGTTCAAGCTCATACCAGATCACAAACCTCCGGAAAGTATCTTCAATCCTGACAAAGGAATATCACCAATGTCATCCAGTGGAATACACAGATGGGCCGTAGAGCTCTCAGCCTACAACTACACTATGTGTAGGATAAAGCACGACTCCAAGGTTATGGTCGGGAAAGTAAGGGTAAGGGTACCTCGGCAAGAGGGTATCGGCAAGGTAAGAACGAGGCGCGAAGCTAATGATATGAAACGCATGATAGGAGGACGTTTAGAAACAAAACTTTCCCGTTTCTTATTCAAGTATCAACTCACACCTCAAACTACAACTGGAGTTTCACCAGCTGAACTCTTTTTAGGTCGACGTCATCTAGATTTACTCCATCCATATCTGACAGGGTTCGTCAGAAACAAGTGAAGCATAAATTCACACATGACAAGTCTGCTTGAGATCGTACAATCCAGGTTGGGGATCCAGTTTTTGTACTAAACTTTCGTTCAGGTGAAAAGTGGTTACAAGGAATAGTGTCAGAGAGAACAAGCCCAGTGTCAGTTCGGGTTCGTCTTGTGAATGGTGGTGTTCTGAGACGACACGTAGATCATGTGAGGCCTCGTCACACAAG